AACTTGGAAGAGTACTCCCACGAGCAATAGATTTGCTAGGTGGAGAGTTGAAGTTGTCTTGAGGAAGAGTTCAGCAACTTTCGTCACTAGTAACATCTGAGCTAGAGACTGTGTGATGAGCCGGTGTGCAAACTGCACTCTGAGCAGCAGACCTGCACACATGGTAGCATGCTACGGTTTGACGACGCTCAACTCTCTCCAATCTAATCATAAATACTAGATAAGATTGCTGGTCGAGCAGGCCGGTGACTCGGTATGCGTGTCACATGTCTAAACCATCTCAATTGGTGCAGCTTGTCAACATCACCGATTGACTTTCCTCCCTTGCCTAAGGGTCTATGCGCAACGTGATTATTATCACCATTATCACTATTAATGTTCCTCTCCTTCTTGTGGAAGATATTATACCACCAGGTGAGATTAGAAATGGAAGGGAGACAGCTAGTCACTTCACATCTTCCACGTTCAACGTGGATGTCACCCAGCTAGTTGTAGAAGAGAAGGGAGCGAACTTCTGCACGATACACACGTGCTTTGCAGGATATCCGGATATTATGGCTGAGCGAGAGATGACAGGAGTTGTCAAATGCAGTGCTGAGACTTCATCAGAAATCAGTGCACTGCGGTTGATGCAACTTCCCACATAAGTGAAGTGGTGAACACGCTGAAGCATTTCACTTGCTATCCCTAGAGTAGAAGTCGGTTCCCACCAGTCCTGCAACATCATCTTACATTTGACACGAGCGAATCGCATGACCAAGCTACTGAGATTTCTGCTGAAGCTGTTCACAATACCCGGCATTTGCCAATGACTTCACGCAGAGTAACTATATCATCTGCATACTGTATGTAGATCGACCAGACTCTCGCCTGGTAACAAGTCAATCCATGAGACGTGGATGTGGATCACGACCACCTGCATTGATTGACACATGTATAATCAGGTTACTTGGAATTGGTGACACTGGGGATGCATGAAGATCTGCATTGGTTGTCTTCACTCCACTCCAAACCACACCTGTTCACTTCACTTGACTTGACTTGACTTCACTTCTCATGGGAACGAGGCGTTAGCTGTCTCACCAATGAATCAGTTCGAGTAGAGTTCCCTGAATACTGTGATATACTCTCTCGCCAACATGGCAGACTTGATTCCCTATTCCCTTCCATGGACAAGTTGGACAGTGGTGAAAACATCGACAGTTGGCTTGTCTGTCGAATGATTCTACGTATTCAACCATCTGCACAAGACCAGTTAAGCTTATAAATGTGAATATACTCGTGCAATGGACAACGACACGGGTCACAATCAGCAGCATATCTGACAGCTGCATGAGATTGAAACGATGAGTAGTAGATTTGACACAACCGTGTGGCAAAGAACGCTGGCATCACTACTTTTCTGATTTTCGATCAGTCCTACTCGAAAGTGATATGCATTAGTGCCGGCTTGATGAATGACCTGTGGGTACTTGCAGCAAACGACAAAGTCAATCAACTTGGAAGAGTACTCCCACGAGCAATAGATTTGCTAGGTGGAGAGTTGAAGTTGTCTTGAGGAAGAGTTCAGCAACTTTCGTCACTAGTAACATCTGAGCTAGAGACTGTGTGATGAGCCGGTGTGCAAACTGCACTCTGAGCAGCAGACCTGCACACATGGTAGCATGCTACGGTTTGACGACGCTCAACTCTCTCCAATCTAATCATAAATACTAGATAAGATTGCTGGTCGAGCAGGCCGGTGACTCGGTATGCGTGTCACATGTCTAAACCATCTCAATTGGTGCAGCTTGTCAACATCACCGATTGACTTTCCTCCCTTGCCTAAGGGTCTATGCGCAACGTGATTATTATCACCATTATCACTATTAATGTTCCTCTCCTTCTTGTGGAAGATATTATACCACCAGGTGAGATTAGAAATGGAAGGGAGACAGCTAGTCACTTCACATCTTCCACGTTCAACGTGGATGTCACCCAGCTAGTTGTAGAAGAGAAGGGAGCGAACTTCTGCACGATACACACGTGCTTTGCAGGATATCCGGATATTATGGCTGAGCGAGAGATGACAGGAGTTGTCAAATGCAGTGCTGAGACTTCATCAGAAATCAGTGCACTGCGGTTGATGCAACTTCCCACATAAGTGAAGTGGTGAACACGCTGAAGCATTTCACTTGCTATCCCTAGAGTAGAAGTCGGTTCCCACCAGTCCTGCAACATCATCTTACATTTGACACGAGCGAATCGCATGACCAAGCTACTGAGATTTCTGCTGAAGCTGTTCACAATACCCGGCATTTGCCAATGACTTCACGCAGAGTAACTATATCATCTGCATACTGTATGTAGATCGACCAGACTCTCGCCTGGTAACAAGTCAATCCATGAGACGTGGATGTGGATCACGACCACCTGCATTGATTGACACATGTATAATCAGGTTACTTGGAATTGGTGACACTGGGGATGCATGAAGATCTGCATTGGTTGTCTTCACTCCACTCCAAACCACACCTGTTCACTTCACTTGACTTGACTTCACTTCTCATGGGAACGAGGCGTTAGCTGTCTCACCAATGAATCAGTTCGAGTAGAGTTCCCTGAATACTGTGATATACTCTCTCGCCAACATGGCAGACTTGATTCCCTATTCCCTTCCATGGACAAGTTGGACAGTGGTGAAAACATCGACAGTTGGCTTGTCTGTCGAATGATTCTACGTATTCAACCATCTGCACAAGACCAGTTAAGCTTATAAATGTGAATATACTCGTGCAATGGACAACGACACGGGTCACAATCAGCAGCATATCTGACAGCTGCATGAGATTGAAACGATGAGTAGTAGATTTGACACAACCGTGTGGCAAAGAACGCTGGCATCACTACTTTTCTGATTTTCGATCAGTCCTACTCGAAAGTGATATGCATTAGTGCCGGCTTGATGAATGACCTGTGGGTACTTGCAGCAAACGACAAAGTCAATCAACTTGGAAGAGTACTCCCACGAGCAATAGATTTGCTAGGTGGAGAGTTGAAGTTGTCTTGAGGAAGAGTTCAGCAACTTTCGTCACTAGTAACATCTGAGCTAGAGACTGTGTGATGAGCCGGTGTGCAAACTGCACTCTGAGCAGCAGACCTGCACACATGGTAGCATGCTACGGTTTGACGACGCTCAACTCTCTCCAATCTAATCATAAATACTAGATAAGATTGCTGGTCGAGCAGGCCGGTGACTCGGTATGCGTGTCACATGTCTAAACCATCTCAATTGGTGCAGCTTGTCAACATCACCGATTGACTTTCCTCCCTTGCCTAAGGGTCTATGCGCAACGTGATTATTATCACCATTATCACTATTAATGTTCCTCTCCTTCTTGTGGAAGATATTATACCACCAGGTGAGATTAGAAATGGAAGGGAGACAGCTAGTCACTTCACATCTTCCACGTTCAACGTGGATGTCACCCAGCTAGTTGTAGAAGAGAAGGGAGCGAACTTCTGCACGATACACACGTGCTTTGCAGGATATCCGGATATTATGGCTGAGCGAGAGATGACAGGAGTTGTCAAATGCAGTGCTGAGACTTCATCAGAAATCAGTGCACTGCGGTTGATGCAACTTCCCACATAAGTGAAGTGGTGAACACGCTGAAGCATTTCACTTGCTATCCCTAGAGTAGAAGTCGGTTCCCACCAGTCCTGCAACATCATCTTACATTTGACACGAGCGAATCGCATGACCAAGCTACTGAGATTTCTGCTGAAGCTGTTCACAATACCCGGCATTTGCCAATGACTTCACGCAGAGTAACTATATCATCTGCATACTGTATGTAGATCGACCAGACTCTCGCCTGGTAACAAGTCAATCCATGAGACGTGGATGTGGATCACGACCACCTGCATTGATTGACACATGTATAATCAGGTTACTTGGAATTGGTGACACTGGGGATGCATGAAGATCTGCATTGGTTGTCTTCACTCCACTCCAAACCACACCTGTTCACTTCACTTCACTTGACTTGACTTCACTTCTCATGGGAACGAGGCGTTAGCTGTCTCACCAATGAATCAGTTCGAGTAGAGTTCCCTGAATACTGTGATATACTCTCTCGCCAACATGGCAGACTTGATTCCCTATTCCCTTCCATGGACAAGTTGGACAGTGGTGAAAACATCGACAGTTGGCTTGTCTGTCGAATGATTCTACGTATTCAACCATCTGCACAAGACCAGTTAAGCTTATAAATGTGAATATACTCGTGCAATGGACAACGACACGGGTCACAATCAGCAGCATATCTGACAGCTGCATGAGATTGAAACGATGAGTAGTAGATTTGACACAACCGTGTGGCAAAGAACGCTGGCATCACTACTTTTCTGATTTTCGATCAGTCCTACTCGAAAGTGATATGCATTAGTGCCGGCTTGATGAATGACCTGTGGGTACTTGCAGCAAACGACAAAGTCAATCAACTTGGAAGAGTACTCCCACGAGCAATAGATTTGCTAGGTGGAGAGTTGAAGTTGTCTTGAGGAAGAGTTCAGCAACTTTCGTCACTAGTAACATCTGAGCTAGAGACTGTGTGATGAGCCGGTGTGCAAACTGCACTCTGAGCAGCAGACCTGCACACATGGTGGCATGCTTTGGTTTGACGACGCTTAACTCTCTCCAATCTATTCATAAATTCTAGGTAATATGGTTTGTCAAGCATAATTGGTGTTTTTCTGAGATAGAATTTTTTTTACTTTCTGTGTTTATAGGGCTGATTATTTTAGACTAGGGTTAGATTTCCAGAATAATCTTTACGAAAGTAAGCACAGATGTAGTGTTCACCAATGTATCAAATAAATGTAGTGAAGTGGAGTGAATTTCAAACGGGATGAATTCATGCATCTTGAAGGGAATAAGACTTTTGTTTGTATCATTGATTTAGCTGACATAGTTTTCTTACAAATCAGTATTGAAACAAGAAATCTATAATATGTAACCGACTTGTGCTTCGCTGAATTAAGTTATCAAAAAAGTTACATTTCATTTCCATTATAATTATTATTATTTATGAGTTTGGGACAGTGAAATAAGTACAAATAAGGCAAAAAATTGTAAGAAAATAAAAGTTGGCTAATGAATGACACGGGGAATTTCATTCTTTGTGCATGTGTTCATAAAATCAGAAGTGAAGGCAGGACTAAAGACAGTGTGGATTATACACAAAATAATGCTGAAGTAGAGGTTAATCATTTTTTTTTGAATTTTAGTAGACAAATGTGTTTACAACATATATGTAGTGCAAAATCTTTGGAAATATCTCAGTTGAATTTACAGAAATCTATGAAGAAATCATATTCACCGAAATGACTAAAAAAAATCACACTTCCAGTTGAAATAAAAAACCAAATCTAAAACTCCAAAATCAAGTTTTTTTTTTAGTCTCACGCCAAGTATAATACAATAAGATTGTTGAATGCGGACAATAAAATTCCCATTGATGGCAAAATTACTTCAATTGGGCGGTAAATTTGCATCGTTTAAATATGAAAACAAAATCGTAGACATAACGACTTTGATGACTAGTGAGTAAAACATGCTTTCACCAACACGGTTAATGCAAGCCTATCCTCTCTCTTCCAAAAGAATAATATTGGCAAAGCGAAGTAGACGATGATAAGTATCACAGATTCAGTGGTTGAACAGCTGAAAATATCAATGTACATTAAAAGATACGGTTATTCAATTAAATAGCATATTCTGATTATCAGGAGATGCAAATAAAACAACCCGTACGTTTGTAGTTTTCTTCTGAGAAATCCAAGACGAAAATTAATGATCAACTTTTTTTTCGATTAGATGAACAAAACTCACAAGAGTTACGTGTAAAAATATAAAGCACAAGATTTTTTTATTGATGTGCTACAATAGTGGAAGATGACAGCAATGAATAACAAATTACTACTCTATAATCGAGGAGTGTCTGGGTTAATAGCCATCAAAACCACTTTCCAGTAAGTACCTCAAATAAGATAAACAGTCCAGATGTGTTTATTTGACATATGAGAGAGTACTCACATAAAATAAATAAGGTATGAGCGATTTTACAATATAAAGGAAATGTGCACCAGCGGGGGTGTATTGCCGACAAAACAGAATGCTCACGCAATGAACGGTATATTTGTGGAAGTAAATAATTATAGATGCTGTGTAAGAATGTCAGGGTATACGCTCATACTACTCATTACTAGTTAGTAGTATGAAGTTGGGCAGGCGACAGTGTAATATAGGCTAGTTAACAAGAATTTGCGTCGTTCGTACCACAACTGTTTTCACTACTAACCAAGTGGTATGGTGAATGCGTCTGCATCTCCAATTAGATTATACTAGATATCAAAATTATATCATTATAACGAAATAATTCTTTTGAAGAAAAAATGACTTTCTTTCTGAATCTAACACTATTCATGCTATGCAATATTTCAACATCGACAGGGATTTTCACTGGCCTCCTATTTCTCATTAGCTTAACATCACAAACACTGCTATGTGAACAATCAATGGAAGTTCACATCTTACGACTAAGAACTACACTTATGATGTAAGCCTATTGAGGCTGTGAAATTACATCGACTGAGATGGTTAGGATATATGTAACACATGCCTAGTCATCGCCTTCCTCAACGGGCAGTGTTAGGTGATATAGGGCCAGGCTGGAAAAGAGCTAGCGGCGGTCAAACCAAAACATGGCACCAGTCAATGAAATCCACAACAGTTAGTTTAAGCCACGAAGGAAGATGTAGACTTCCTGGTTGGGGTCCTCGGGAAGGTAAAAACCAATGGTTGGAAACAATTGGTGACATGGCTCAAAATCGTTCTCAGTGGCGCAGATGCATCCACTCCTTGTGACTTATGATTTCCAGTGAAACTGTTTTGTTCTTCGTTATTACTATTCCTTTGTCTCACCTCTGTTTAATGTCTCTACTATGCATTTCTCCTACTTTCTTCTCTTGCTTTGTGTGCTACATGGAGTGTGGCGACTTGAACTGCCGCACATCGGTGCAAAGTTCTATGTCGAAAACAGACAGACGAGACAGACAGACCTATCAGAACCAACACGTTAGATAAACGTTAAAGAAGTACCAAATAGTAGGGATATTACAAAAGACTAAGTTGTATTCAGTGCAACATTTAAGATCCTATTTTATTCATTTTAAACACAAAACCTGGTACATTATGGCACGAAGAAGATACGCCACACAATAATAATAAAACAACATATGAGAAAAAATAAGGTAAAGAATGATTGGAGGTTTTTATCTGGGAAGAAAGCAGTTATAATTGGCAAGACCAAACAGCATTCGCCGAGTTATTGTCAGAAAGGGATGGAAAAAGAAAACTGCAGCACATTAGCCATTGATGATTGCGACTCTTGGTCATATCCGATAACGTTTAGAGCCCCCGATTTGAGCTACCTCTCGGACTCCAACCACGGAGTCGTGATGCACCAACTGATGCTAACCTATCACAAATATCCTTCACCACTTCTCCGCCTCTTCTATCCAGTCCAAGCCCCAGGAGCTGGTGTTTCCAAATGATTACACTCAATCAATGGTGATCTCCACTGTGTCCAAGCACACGCCGCCGGGCCTCGGAGTTACTCAAACGATGATGTCATCGAACGCATGCAATTCTACAGAGACAGCGACGATAGGATATGCAGAGTCGCCGTACATCTTCAGCTCGGAAAGGTCAGGTTTCGCAAGTGTAGAGTAAAACAGCACGCACCAAAGCAGAGTAAATCGGGCCTTTGACAGCCAGGCTAACGTCGCGACAGCGCCAGAGGTGACTCAAGTTGACCTATGCAACCCTACCTTTCATGAATTTAGGATGGTATTAACTGATCATAGTGAAAAAGTGAGATGCTTGAACTGTACAGGATCTACGATTGTTCTGGTTAAAATACTAAACCTAACTAAAAAGTAATAATAGTAGGACCAAAACTGATTACAGGATTCAGTGCAACCTAATCAAATAATTCCACACTAGTTGTAAGTGATAATTTATGTTTCACCGTTTAGAATAAAACTATTCTCCCTCATCCATAAAAGGCCAACGGTAGAGTAAAATGTTTATTAATAACCAATACCAAATAGTATGGCGAACAACAAAACGAAATCGATTTGAACTAAGCAACTATCCCAGTAAGCCGAACAACTGATCCTATGTTAATCACCGATTTCAAAGAGTCTTAGTCATAGGGTGTTGGATGTTGAGTGAAAGTGAATTTCACTTAGGAAAAGATCAAAAGAGATATTTATGACTTATTTTTATGTTAATGATCTCTCCAGATAGATTTTGTGTGAATTAGATGTAACAATATAGATAACATATGATATACCTGTTTTATTATATATATATATATATATATATATATATATATATATTTGACAAAAACACATCTGAAGTGGTAATACTGCATAGAACGAAACCAAGAAAAGTTGAATTAATTTATCAAAACTGAAATCACATACTGGAAATATCAGATAGATCTGAAAGTGTCAAAATACTCACCATCCTGTAAAACAGACGGACTTGTTTTACCATCACTTGTAGTGTTACATTGAAAACGATTTTCAGCGTTATCCGATGTTTGCACCTCTAGAAGGTTGGAACAGAGGTTTTTACGTTTCAAGCTTTTAGGCATGTGACCCTTGGAATTCGACAAAATATCACATTTGCTTCTTGATGCAATAGTCCTGCTGCTATATTCGTTTTGGCGTGCAATATGCGTAAGGATAAAAGATCGTAGTAGAAGACGATTTTCCTGGAAGAACGTCAATGAAAATAATCGCATAATTAGTTGCATTTTAGATGGAAAGCTGTTAGAAATGCTCAAATAATAAAGCTGAGTTGAGTATTTCAATACAAAGCTATCTTGCAACTGATTCAATTACAACACTAGCCCTTTAGGGACTGTTCTCGCAATCATCAGAATGCAAGAAAATAAAAAGCCTACACAATGGAGTACAGGGTGCAGACAACTACCTGAAGTAAACAGTGTTTGTAGCCATTTGTCAGTAGCAGTAACATATCAGGCCATAGGATAGAATTCTGGATGGCTAAACAATGACATCTCAATAATGTATGCACGCAATTGTCTAAATGAAAACACAAAACTTGGTTGACACCCACGAACACAATGAAGGTGTGTCTATCGAAGATTCTCGTCTCTAAGATCATGACAGCAAGATTCACCTTACAAGGAAAGAAAGCTACAATTAAACAGTTATACTGGGAGAAGACAACGCAAGAAAGTAACTCATATCATGGGTCGACAGGTGATCGATGAAATTAATGACAACGAAGAACTCTTTACAGAATTCTGTGCGTTCAATTATTTAGCAATTGAAAGCCGCGTGTACAAGCACGAGGATATTCTCAAAAGGGCGTGGATTCCACCACATGGACACACCAAACATCAGATGCACATCATTGCAAGCTTAAGAAACTGGCAATGTGACCTACTGGACACAAGATCAAGAAGTTGAGCAGATGTAGGTTCACATCACTCACCATCTGGTGTAAGAAACCCTTAAGATTAAGTCGAAGACTAAAAAGAAACTGGAGATAGACCAAAATCGAAGCTTAATACTCAAAAACTGAAGAATGAAGAAACAAAAAATACGTTCACTGAAGTCTTCAGTGACATCAGCGAGGAAAACTGAGTAAGAGTATACTGTAACTCTCTGAAGGCAACTTGGAGAGAAACCTGTGTAGATATTTAAAGAGAGGTGATGCAAGAAAATACAAGGCATCTGGAGGCTGATAGAGAGGAGAATGAACACTAAGCAGTGGACTGACCAGTGCAAAAATGAACAATGAAAGGATATGCTGCATATATTCATAAGCGCACTGAAAAAATAGGAGGAAATTACACTTGAAAAGACAAAAGAAACTATTAAGACACACTAGATACCTCACAACACTACATCAAATAACTAGATAGTCTTGCGGGAAGATATCAGCACAGATTAAGCCACTTGACACGACTCTTGAATTGACTGCTACCTACAACATGTCTAGAAATACCAACAACAAAAACTGAAGTCATGATGATACTGAGTAAAAACACCAAGATTGAATAAAATCCTCTCAAAAGCACTGAAAACTAACCTAGAGACCTCAGACGATATGCTGATATCATTACTAAACATGACTTAAAACTGTAGTCGTCTGTGTACCTCAATTTCATAGACTATGAAAAAGCCTTTGACAAGATCGACTATGAACCGATTTGGAAACTGTTTCAATACTATTCAGTATCGCAAAGATGAACTTCGTTCAACGAGGATAAGGCGACGCCACATGCCCAGCAATTCACAACGGAAAGCTTTCGAAGTGAAAACAAGAGCAAAACAAGGCTATCTGTTATCAAATGACTGTGGCAGGCCATGTCATCCAACAGACAGAGGAGTGAGAAGACAGGGACAGGTTCAACTCTAGGAGATCTGCATTTTGAAGACAATTTGTATCCCATATCTCACAAAATAAAAGGTGTAAATTCGCAAACCAATAGGTTGGCAGAGATAGCGAATACGGAGGGAACAGTGGTGACGAAGATAACTGACCATTAACAAACACCATCGCCAGTGGCAGGAATGTAAAGGAGGTCGTCTCTCCGAAGCCTTGTTTCAACCACATGGCAGGGATAAGGTATCAAAGCTGGCCAGAACGACATCAGGAAAGCAAGACCGGCGCTCGTTCGTCTCTAATTAGTGTGTAGATCAACAGCAATCGGCAATAAGAACAAGTTCCGACTCTTCTGCACTGATGTTATATCAGGGCTTCTATATGCTTCGGACACGACGCGCGTGTCACTAAGAGCATTTCCGATGGGCTACTGCAGATCTCCGTCAACAGTTGTCTTCGCTGACTAGATACTGAAGAACAAACGAACGGATAGAAAGGATAAGCAGCAGCACCCCAGCCACGAACCTACTAACGCGCAGGACGGAACAGATATGCATTACATATACGCTGAAGAAACCGTTGAATGAAATCGCGCGCTAGGCCCTCAAGAGGTACCATAATGAGATACAAAGGTTGAAATGCAGGAGATCATATGAAGAGAGATGAAAGACGATAGACAGTCGTGGAGTCAGCTAAAGAGGACAGCTGAAAACAGGATGAAATGGAGGTGTGCTTGTCAAGCTTTATTTTCCACTCGAAACCTAAGGGAATAACAATAATAACATATTTTATCATTAAAAAAAATAAAGTAATGGCATAGGTGAAAAAGTCAAATTATCTTCAAATGACACAAATACCTCATCCACAACAGCCACCAAAATAAACATAAGAACAGCTGTTAAGGCCATAGCAATGGGTACGACAATTAGCATGCTGAAAGCATCCAACAACTGAATGTAAATTGCAATGTATGGAATTCCCAACGTCAACATTAGCTGTAATAATACCAATAAATGCCTAAAAATAAAGAATTTACACAATATAGAATTAATAATTCGCATTAAATTGTCATAACAATAATAAAATCTTGATAAAATCGCATTACTACTCAAAAGAAACAACTTTTTGAACTTGCTACAACTTTAGTTAGCGTGCATTTCGGATTGTGAGGGCGATTGTTATTTCCTGGCGGCCCACACCGTGGAAGTTGGTTGCGAGACCGCAGAGCTCAGGGGACAACTGCTTGAGGCCACACGTGGCCTGTTTTTGTTTGTTCTTTTTTATTTGGTGTGCCTCAGTAGCATATTTATCACTTCTGCCCTGTGACACGGCAGCAGGAAGCGCGGTCGTTGTTAATCCGGGCCCCGACCGATCCGGCATGATATTTTGTGTGGATCATAGCATTGGATTGGGTAACTGCTTTTTGTCTAACAGCTATCCAAACAACCTTTCTGGCATGGTAGGACCTCAAGCGACGTAAGTCTCAGCCAGTATAGCTTTTTGGGTCATTGCGGTGTTCAAGCCTGACCACCACGTCAAGGTAGCAGCTTTCTGTCGGGAAAACTTTAGTTCACCTCAAATCAGATGTGCACATGCAGAAGTATCTATATATAAAACGATGATCTACTAGGATTACTCAACTCCAGTAAAGGTTTCAACATTCACAGAATCACCAGCATCAAAAAAAGGAAGATCTCAATATGATGCGCATAAAAAACATTGCTTAGGCTGCTGAAATTCTAGCGGTGTAAGCCGATCACAAAGAGAGAGATTTATCCATGATTTGGTATCTCGATTAAAAACTAGCACTCACTATAATTCTACCTCTATTCAAAAGTATCTTCTAAATATTTGTTCTACTTCCCTAAGTTATAAGTGTATTCATTGACACCGAATTTGTGACACATTCCACTGACTGACCATGCTTTTCATGTTTGCCTAAAATGATAACTTAATTACATCTCATAATGTGTTATTCACTAGACAGAATTTCCCTATCTGGAACTTCATAGTTGAAATTTACTTTGATCTTTTTTCACATAAAAGAATAAAGGTACGACGGTTTTAAAATCATTATTTGTCAAACCAGATAATGAAACTATTCAGTTAGAAAATAATAGTCAGGTGTTTCCTTTAAATCTAATTAACTGACATCTTCCAAAAAAACGTTAAAGATTCAGTTAATTGCAATAGTAATAGGAAAAATGTGAAAATAAATTTTTTAATACTCACGTAGTTTTATTTAATTTGCTTTTGCGAGTTAGAAAGTAGTTTTTGAGAAGCACAAAACCAACGATAAACAATATAAGGAAATTGAAGGATACAATTGCCGTAATAGGACCAACGAAGGACCAGCGAAATGTTTTTGGACCAATGCATCTGAAATGTAAAGAGGACACCGGAAGTAAATAATTTGTTGGCCTTCCTTTCTTCTTACCTAGAAAAACTTAATACATGATGAATCTACTTACTATAGCAAAGGCGTATGCACGCATAGTTCCTGTGAGACAGTAACTTAATTAACATTTGGGTTGAAATAACAATACGCTCAGTGTGCATATAATCGACATAGCAGTTAGGACTCTCACCGACCGTGCACATGGTCCGGGGTTCGATCCTCGGCCGACGCACTCCTTTACCTCGCTAAGCCAGAAATAATGCTGGTGAAGAGGAAAGGTTGGGCATGAGGCTAGCAACCCCATCCTGTAAAATAAACACTGCTACAGAAACTTCAAGCCACTAGCTTGAAGCCCTATGTTCCACCAAGGAACGTGAGAGAGAAAAAAATCATCCGAAGAGTAGTGACCACCGACTGTCAGTATGAGTGGCAACAAGATGTTTGATACAAAACGTCACAGGTAGGAAATCAATGTTCTCAGACTATTTAAGAGATGACAACCGATTCCGAAAAAGCACCATCCAATGAAGTGAATACAATTGGACTGTTAGGAGATTCAATGAGAGAATACAAAATATTATTATTTATTGTCGCTATTTATCATCTATTTGAAATATGTCAGTGATTGTATATATAGTGCATCTCAAGTTTATTATGGAACGTTTATTCATACTGTCAATCCTGCATTCCATTGTATTGAAATAAAAGTCTAAAAAACCATGCAACTCAGAAAATTATAAAGCACCGACAATTGAACGAAGAATATTATTTCTGATAAACTCATCAACAGGTTCTATATGACCAAAATAATTAAAGAAATATTGTTATTATTTTTTTTAAACAACATCAATGTTTCAAATTACACTGAGTCTGTAGTATTGACAGATTTTATTCCAAAAAGCATCAGTAAGAGAGACAGAGGCAGAGAGAGAGAGAGAGAGGTGATCTCTATTAATATGACACTGAACTAAATATCAAATAAATCAAGCGAAATAACAGGAAATTGATGAATTTATGGGCTCAGCAGTGGGCAAGGGTAGCAACAGCGGATGAACCTGTTTCATTTGCACACTGCACATAGCCAAGAGAGTAGAAAAAAGTTTTTCTGTATCTGTTAAGAAGAAGCCTCTACATACACGACTACATTTAAAATGTGATGTATCAATTGAAATAATAACCACGAAGTTGAGGAAATCGATTCAAAGTACGCATAATACCGGTAAGCTGCAGCTTATAATTTTCACACAACCGGTTGTTGTTCCGAAAATGAAAGACAAAGTACCTAGGCCAACCACTTCTTAATGTATCTATCAATTTAACTGCTCCTGTGGAGCCATTTATATTGACCGTTATTCTACGAACCTAATTTTTCGTTCTTGGAAATATCTACGAGTGTGACTAAATAAAGTATTGCTAAAACCACTATCAGTTTTATATTAGATCACCTCATCCATACAGACTATAAAGCTAGTATTGAAGAGTCTTTCTGTATCATCTATCGGGTATTGAGTGAATTACCAAAGCCCCCTAGATAGCGAACATTCCGAATACCAAGAGGCCATCGGGACTATGCGTGGAAAAGAAATTACTACCCTTGCCCGCTGCTGAGCCTATAAATTCATCAATTTCCTGTTATTTCGCTTGATTTATCTGATATTTAGTTCAGTGTCATATTAATAGAGATTACCCCTCTCTCTCTCTCTGTCTGTCTTACTGATGCTTTTTGAAATACAATCTGTCGATACTACAGACTCAGTGTAATTTGAAACATTGATGTTGTTTAAAAAAAATAATAACAATATTTCTTTAATTATTTTGGTCATATAGATGTAGAACCTGTTGATGAGTTTATCGGGAAGAATACTCTTCGTTCAATTGTCAGTGCTTTGAAATTTCTAATTTTCATTTTCAATCAATTTAAATCACATAGGTATGAAGTACTGACAAACTTACAGGCCACTATTACTGACTTCACCAGTGTAACCAAACCACACCCCGATTATAACAGCGGGGCTGAGGTAAGCCACCCAAATTAAAGGCAAACAATATTTCGGTTTTGAAACAAGATCATGGAGACGAGAGTGAGGTGAAATGCTGTAATATTGAAACACACAAAATGCGAACGTAAACCAGTCAATATGAAAGTATACTTTATGAATTATATAAGAGCAAATCTAAGTTATTATTCGCATATACACTGAAAAAATAATAGCAACCAGAAATTATAACAAGAACTATGCCATCTTTGCATTAATGCATAGTAAAAAAAATAACATAATTGCTGGCGATTTAAATCCGTACAAATATTACCGTGCATTCTCGTCAGACAGGAACCGTATAACCATTTCAATTTATACTTAGAACGTAAGTGTAGTCCGTTCAAAATGACTAAATAACCGAACATTAAGTATAAATCATAGTGTCAATTGTTCAAATAGGATAAAAGCATCAATAGCATGAACACTAGCTACCACAATACAAATCTATCAACAAACCATTAAGAACATTTAAATCCACAATTGTTCAAATGTTGTGTGGGCAGTACTCTTCATAATTTGCTAATCTTACTGTTGGAAAAACGTATACATCTAAAATGTCATGAGAGTCTCTTATACTTTCATGGTGATACCGATGCTCAAAATTATTTGCTACATTTAGCTACTGTTTTTGTTGCATTGTTAAGATACATGCATTCAAATCGCAGTATCATTTAGTGATTGATGCTTTTCGAGCTCCTAGTACTTTTCACTTGGCTAGTTACAACTACAATCTTTTTGTTTCCATTTTTTATAAGGTAAAGATGATTGGTCGCCATACGGATTAGTAAGTTACCTTTCACTCGTGTCATATGTTTAACACTGAGTTTGTTATTGAAGCCGCCGGTCTCGTTTTCCATACTTGCTTTTGTAATGTCGATTAAGTAAGTGTTGGTTGTCTTGCACACACGTATAAAACACCCCAATGTGGAAAACTCCAATGAGTTTCGTACTTTTGCATCTTAATTTTCTAGTAACTTCATCCTTTCGGATTAAATAACACCGAGAATACACCAAACAGAAACTGAATACACAAGAAAGCGACTTATGGTCTTTAAATGTAACTTGGATGGCTGTGTATTAAATGAGTAGGAAAAGACGATTATTCAATAAAACAAATACGCTCAATAGAAAACAAGAGAAGAGAGGAAGTTGCAGATACGAATTATCGAAAAGATTATTGACTGGTGGTTGAAGGAGGAGAGAATTACTCAATGTTTCAAGAGGTATTTTGTAGCATAAATGATCTATATGAAGACATCACCTTGACGGATAGTAAAAGCAGTAATATGATTTGGTTAAACAGTCACCATTCATTGACGACATGCATATCTGCGGTTGGAAGCTATTGCTGATAACAACTAAGTCAGTTCTTCAATTGAACTCAATGACTCAAGTGAAACAGAAGTTCACTGATGCAATTTATATGCGTTTGTATATATCCCCTATTAGTATTTAGATAATTACTAATATTCAAGCCAAAAAATACTTCTTAATACTCTAACCTTATTTAGCTGAAGTAGCATTTTGGAGCACAAGAATTAGGAAGGCTTCATTGTGATGATCAATGCACTCCTATCATTGCTTACTGTGAAAAGCCGCGTTTGCAAGGCAAAACTACTGTGGAAAAGGATCTCTACTTGACCTGGAATACTTTCAAGGAATAAAATGAATACATATCAGTAAACATACTTTCCACTTACATCAATATCAACGTATTCAAACCGAAAATAAACTTCCACGCGAATGCAGCCAGAGGGAAATAGCACACAGCAACTGCAACCACTGTGCACATTATATGCTGTCTATCAGTTATATGCGGGATGGTTAGAGAAACTATTGCGCTAATCATTAAACAAAAAGCGATGTTGAATTGATCTAGCCGAAAGACACCACTAAATAATACAAGCAAAAGAAATTTAGAAAATGAGTGTGTATATGTGTACGGCGAGTGTAGGTAATAAACACAAATGCATGGGTAATAAGAAATTCTTTGAGTTTTTTAAGCATCAAGCACAGAATTTTTAAGATACCATGACTTTTATGACGCACAAGACAAAGCAATCCTATTTCTCACATCCTCACTGATCTTGATATCTGTGATGGAGTAAAGCAATGAAATCGTAGTATGAATAATGCATAAGACCAAATTACTTATAGCGTCAGTAACACTTGATAACTCATTGATGCCTGCTACAGATTAATTCATCGTTTACTGGAAGCTGAGTCGAACAGGTTATCTGACGTCAAATCTACAGTCGAAACTACGAATTTGTGAATTCCCTTACTGTAGATAAACAAATATGATTGTTTTCTTAGATTCCAGAACAACTATAGCCTTTGTGAGAAAGTGAAATGGGTTTCAGCCGTCCTAGTACACCTATTGAACTACCAGAAAGCGACAAAGATTGCTACTCAAAACTTTAGTTTGTTGTTGATATCAGTGTAGATTTTATCAGGAATCGATATCACTTAAAGAAGTGTGAAGTAGTGTACAGCTACAATGTTCTAGTCTAGTGCATCGACAACAACATCTGCTAACGGTGGCTGACTACCAACCAAACACTTTTCATCAGTGACTTCGAAATCGATTTCCTAGAAGCATCCATTGAGGGCAAGTGTGAAGACACACACACACACACACGCACAGTCGAATAGAGACAAAAGTCAGTATAAGTTGCAATTGACGGTGGCTACATCACTTGCCATCACAAGCCAAGGGTTTCAACCCTGGTGGAGGAGTTGTGGGGACGCACTAAAGACGAGAAACAAACCACAACGAAACAAAAGGGCAGTTCACAACACTTTTCGATGGATATCCGAATGATGTCGGCACCTGAATGAGGAAGGAGACTAATTGAAAACGAATGATGGACATATTTCCTCTGCGTGTGTTTGTGTGTGACCTTATTACAGTTTTCGAATAGTCTTGTCCACTCCGTAACAATTGTTGACAAAAGAAAAACCCATAATTAGAAAAACGACTCAACCCAATGAGAAAGAACGTAGAACAGTTCAGAAAGGTGAAAAGGAGGACTATTCTAAAGAAGCCTGCATCACCAATGAAGGGAAACGATAAACGTTTCACTCAAAGAAATGTAGGCTAGAGATATCTAGTTAAAACTCTGATTATTTATTACTAATATTATTATTATTATTATTAACATTTGCAATTACTTTCCTATGTTCCATTTTTATATCCTGCAATAAATAACACTACACATCAATCAAGTCTGATACTAAAAAGCACATCTCCAATATCAGAGAGAAAACAAAAAACGCTTATGGTGCTTAAATGCAGCTCAGATAGCGGTTGTGTATAATAAATGAGTAGCCAAAAGACCATTCACAATAAACCACTTACGCCCATTAGAAAACAAAAAGAATGCGAACAGATTATCAGCTACTGAGTTTTTATTTCAGCGAAGAAAGGCAAGTTGTGAGACATTCCATTCATCCATTTCCTAATGTCGCTCACCACAACTTCTTCTACCTACTACCTCAATCACTTAACATAACTGACGATAAAACATCTTTCATTCATTTATTGCTTCTCGTAAAAAACACCGTGATTTGAGGGAAATCGGTATTGCACTTTTTGTACACTACTACATGAGTGACACTAGAAGAATATTTCGGGACGTCGTATATTACTGTATCTGTGTCGTCAAAACTCCACTGACTCCTAACTTCATACAGAATGATGACGCGCCTTTATTATGTCCGGAAAGACTATCTTCGCTAAACTGTTTGTTTTTACTTCCATACCTGTATTAAGGCCCAAGATTGGATATCGTGCATCTATGTACACTACAGGTCAACCATGTACCTATGTAAGATGGCTAAAGGCAGTCGGCAGGAAGCCTTGAATCTAGGTGTCGTGCTAGTTGGCACTCGTCAGCAAGGCGTACCTACAACCTTGAAGGAACTCATTTCCCTTCTGAGATTCAAACCCGCGTCAGCCAGTGAGTACTGCAGTTAGGGACGTTACCACTGAGCTATCGGGCTTGAAATTGACCTCCTGTAGGACTGTAGTGGATACTTTGATTGGACACTAGTAACTAGTGTGATGTGTCTAGACCTTTCGTTGGTGCAGACTGAACTCTATCAACCTTATATAATCAAATCAATGTGCACCTTGAGGGCAAGTTACCTAAAATGGTGGCCACATTCAAACCTGACTTATAGAATTCAGTGTACATCACACTAGTTACCAGTGTCCAATCAAAGCATCTACCTATGTGTTAACTACTTCAAGAACTGCAATGTTAAGTGTGAAGTAGGATTAGGTTGGGAATGTGTTGGTGACCAGGTCAGAGCATGGCATTATTCTATGAAGTCATTGGCTATTCATCATTTGAGTTATTTAGTAGATAGTGTAGGTGAAACAGTAACTTACATGAATCGAGTAAATATGAGAAACAAGAACAGAGCGACAATAGTAACCAGAGTGAATACGTAATTCACGATACTTATGGAGTATACATGTGCAGAAGGGATCTGAAAAAGAAAATTAATAAAAACTGGCAGCTATTTATGATGAAGAATTTTTTTCAATAGAGAATAAATGTCAAACATGCGTCGGTGGCACAGCGGTAGAATGTTCGCGAACAACGCAGGTGGTTCAGGGTTCGATCCCCGGCCAACGACGCACTCCTTTACTTCGCTCAGCTAGTATTGAGACTGGTAAAGAGGGAAGTTTGGGCATGAGGTTAGCAACCCCATCCCGTAAAATAGATACCACTGCTACCGAAACTTCAAAGCTCTAGCTTGAAGCCCTATATTCCACTGGGAACGAAAGGAATAAAATATGAACAATTAAATAAATGCCAAACACAAACTGACTTTAGAAAGAACAAAGCGCACCCATCACAATGAAATAAACAAGTTGAATGAGCTTCATTCAAGAGGGAAATTGAAGATGTATGTAGTTTTTAAATGATGAAGATGATTAGCAATTTTTTATAAAGTTATACTCACATCTGATGTGCCCAGCCAATAAATTAAGGCAATAGCAAACGTTCCGTCTTGATTAGAAAAACACTGACATTCATAATGGTAACCAACGATTACAGTTTTGCAGTTTCCATTATTCCAAATTTCTTTGAAATTACTATTTAAAGAAAAAAGGTAGGATAAATTACTTATTTAAGAACGAGAAATTAAATCCAAATCAAGTATTTCCTAGGTGTTTTTTTTAAAGTAAAGTGGTTAGAAAGATTATTTTTCAAAAACACAAACAAACAAACAAACAAACAAATGAAACAGATTGCTAAATACATCATTTCGATTTTAAAAGATAATGTATTGAAGAAACTTAGTTATTATGGACCGTATATGTTTCACTAACTAGCAGACAGGTAGTCAATAAATTATGTGTGCACTTTAATGCTGTCGTTAGTCAAAACAGCACATTTAGATGAATACTAGGACCCCAAGAGAATTGAAAACAGAATGTTTTCCTCCATCAAACAGGAGGTCATTTCAAACGGAATACAGGGTCGAAATTCCAAGAATAAATTTCATACCTCTTATGATGAATAAATACATAATCATGCATAGTTTGTTATCTTCTACACACAAACAATGTGTATCCATCATTCAAATGAGAATGATGGTATATATATATATATATAATTACTAATAATGGGAATAATTATATGATGGCAAAATGTGGCCCACGATGAACTTGCATCAAATATTTACTCACTGGACTTTCAAATATGGTACTTGTAAGGCGACGAAAATGAACAAGAGGCAAAAATTGCAATTGTGAAATGTGTAATTAGAGTGGAAAACACCAAAAAAGGTGTTGATGAAAAGAGAAACACAAAGTCGATCGACAGCTTCCCTCACCAAGAGGAGTATTAGGTAATGCACAACTACTTCACTGCAGGCTAGATGAACACAGCAAACAAATTTTCGTCAATAGGAGTAAGCGAAACAGTGATTGCATACAGAGAACAAGAAATGCATTGACGAATTACTTATGTAATGTACACGCGTCTTTTTTAAAATGCCGTCCAAAATGTATAGTCAGTTATAAAACTTTGTCTCAGAAATATCAATTATCATTAGAATGAATATCTCGCAAAAAAGAATACTGAAATGCATTACACACATATGTTACAAAAAAATACTACAAAGACTAAACTTACGGACCCTGTTGAAGTTGTTCGCAAGACGCCGAGATATTTGGTTTCTAAATTATAAGTAATATTAAAGAAGAAAACAATGAATTGCGAAAAAACATTGGGGCTGCATAAAGTCGTGTAATTAGACATTACTCCCACTTAGTCATAAAAACTGAAATCATACGAAAGGACATGGAGACACTTATTTAACCGAAAGTGTTACTTTTGGAGCAGACCAGTTTGCCAGTAGTACTGCAAAGCACTAGAATTTTTGAGAGACATGCTATAACTTGATTTTATATCGTTACCCTCGCCCCTCCCTTGCTTGCTCACTCTTTGAAATATCAAATTTCAAAATTAATGTTTGACATAACTTAATAAACAAATCAGGTCGACTACAACTGGTTCAAGTGTATCTACCCCGATGATAGCTCTGAAAATATCTAAGGATGCTTTTATAACAGCACCGTCTTTAAGAGTAGATAGGTGGAGAGTTGTGTAGGAAAGAAGCCTTATCTTAGAGAAAAGCGATATTTATGTCTCAGGCACAAAAAAAACACAGCTCATTTAATTTCTTAACTAACAGGATTATAAAATAAAGGAAACAAGGCTGTCTCTGATTAGCAAGGAAACCATAATTCAAAGATTTTAACCATCATTAACAAGTTTATAAGTGTCGTTATAAAACAGATTTTAGATTAAAAAAAGGACAACCTCAGACAGATTCACAGAGACTGTGAAAGATACACCGGTACTTGTATCGACCAACAAGATATCTGAGCCAACCATAGATTCTTCCTTGTCCTTGTCAACACTGAGCAGTTCGGTCAGTTGGATACCAGGTAGCCTAGCAGTTGGGATGACAGCGATGAAAGTATCCTGCACTTCTATAAAAAATACCATAGAAAGTTGTTAGTATGCAGTCAGTCAATTGTCACCTAAATTCTAATAAAATCCAAAGAAACACGACAGTTGTTGGGCAAGAAATCTCTTGCAATACGATCAGTCGCACAAGCATTTAACAATCAACATACAACTTAGATTCTGTAACTTCAGCAAGGTTAGCACTTAGTAACTACATAAGTTCAGTCCATCTACATTCTTCTTCAACGAATTCCTGTATCCCCACAGTGCAACGCATGATCCAGTTCACAACAATCAGGAATATCACTGGTAGGTAGCCTGTCTTCACTTCAAACGCCTCATTGAGCTTTCGCTCGCGAATCACTTGATAGGTAGCATTGCCACATAGCTACTGTATTACGTTAATAATAGTTTGGAGCACTCCATAAAGTTAAAGGAATTAGTAAATTATTTTGAAATCAACAGTGTTGAGGCACTTGCCAGAGCCGACAAGGTTGAAACACTGATTTGATTTCCAATCTATGCTCTGTTCGATTATGATACTTGCTGTTGTAAGTTGAACAGCAAATGACTTATTTACCTCTACTGAATCCAGTTTCTTTCACGAGGAGTTTTGCATCAAGAACATGTTATAATCTCCAGCATGACACGACTCAATATCTTGCTTCGCGTAGACACGAGCATGACTTCGTACCAGTTCTTGCAAAGGCACCTCACATCAGCATCTTTCTTTTGTAGCTTGACGAGATAACCGTTCTTCCAATCAGCAGGCACCTTTCCTTCCTTCCAAACTCCCATTAATAATACCGTGAGGATATCCTCTGTGATCTGTGGATCAGTTTTGTGTGAGTGCTTCTGGGCGAATTCCATCTGGTCCTGCTGTCGTCTCGGCTCACAGTAGCTTCATGTCATTCAAAACTCATACTTTCCTCGAAGAATTGTTATTCACTGACAGTGGAGTGGTATTTATGGACAAGTTGCAGGTGGTGGCCAGTTCAACAGTCCTTTGACTTTATCAGCCTGTTATTTCCTACGCCTCTAGTGGTCTATCGTTATTACGTCCCCTTCACTATTTTTCATTGGTCTCATCCGTGTTGACCTCTTCCAAGATAGCGACCAGGTAATCTGTTATAGTCTTCTTAGCTCCCTCTTACCATTGAGCCTGTTCTTTTTCAGTTCCCAGTTTGCCATGAGGCTGTCTTTTATCCTTCCTGGCATTCTTCTTCACTTCCTTATTCGGCGTGCTGCAGTTTGAAGTCAGTTCCTCCTTTCGTTGCTCATCTTTCGTCGAATCATTCCTCTCTCTTTCTCCTATTGGCCTTCACGTGTCCGTAAACAGCCATTCCTAGTTTCGCCTCTTCTTCCTTCCTAAGATGGCTGTACAGGTTCCCTTCAACCCCCCCTACATGAGGGTCCCAGTTTTATTCCACACAAGTTTTCCCATTGATGTCTTCAAATATTTCCTCATAGCTGCAGTGAAGGTGTGCTGTGTAGTTTCATCCCTCACTTTCTGATTGTTGAACTTCAAGTGTGGTCTATCTCCAGCTACTACTGAGGATGCTTTCGACTTAACCTAGAAGGTTCTTTGCACCAGCTCACTGGACAGTCAGTGATCTCAGTCTGCATCTGTTCCTCTTCTCTTATTTTGTGTTCAGTAGACTGCGTCTCCACTTTCTTGAGATTGAGATGAATTCTATCTGATTTTTTCGTGTGTGCGTCAGTCAGGCGAAACGCATACCGTTTCGTGTGTATCCTTGTAATTGTACACGCTGCTTCTCATCACCATATTTTTGAACCAGCATGAGTCTGAGAGGTGTTCTTCGTTCTCACTCGTTTCTCCAAGAGCTTCCCGACCGATCAAGAGTCCTGTTGGAGTGTTGTTTCTCCCAGTTTGGCATTCATGTTAAACATTAGGATTTGGATTCTGGTCATTTAGGATCTTGCCCATTACCACTTTCCAGTTACCTGTAGAATTTATCCTTCTCTTGATCTGTGCTGCTTATAGGAGTGTAGCATCGGATAAGTGTAACTTCCGTAAAGTGCATTTTGGTATCATTTCCCTAAATCAGATTGGTCCACACTGTATGAGACTACCTTTCCATACTGTTGGTGACAACATGGTAGCTGAACTCTGTGTAGTCTCGGTTGTCATCTGGGTGACCAGAGTAGATCACAGACACTACAGCTAGCAAATCTGAGAGTCCAATTCCAATCCATTTGCTCTCATAGATTTGTAACACTTCCATACCATATTTTCTCATATTTTTGGCATTTTGTTTATTTTCTTCACAATCTTCACATAAACTGATTTAACTAATAAATGTGTAGTCAGATCATTCGAAACGTACTGTGTTAATAGATCGCATTTTTCGGATAAACTCTGTCTTCTAATAATGCTACCCAAATTTGTTAAAGGAACTAACTGTTTTGAATCAAAAAAGAGTTATTACTCATACCATGAAATAAGTTATTCACTATGTATTCATGATATACGAGGAATATATAAAAGACTTAACAGCAGGGACATAGAAGAACAAACGTAATCAAAAAGGCAGTTAATTAGTTTAATTTAACTAACTGACCTGACTGGTTTGACTTCACAAACATTTCGAGTGCACTTCCTTGAGAATTGTTCAGTGATATTTCCCCCTTCACTGGTGACAAGTGCTAAATAAACAGCAAACACAACTAAATAGTTGACTAGCTTTCAAAAGAAACAGACATATTATAGTATAGTATGTAGAAGATCCTTTTAAGGTTACACAAACACATTTAAAAACTCATATCAGGCAGGATTCTTAATTCTTAAGAGTCTACAACCTGCTAAATAGGGCTGTTGTTACAGTATTACAGCGGCAGTTACTTGATATTTACCGTTTTCCAGACTATTGATCAAGAATGCAAAGATGAGGCTATAGTACAGAGATAATGTATCTCAGACAAGACATTAGCAAATTTAGCTGTAAAGGTCAACACATAATAAAACAAAAAGCTATGCATTGCATATTATCCTTTGGTCTTTCGTTGCAGAGAAAACTCATCTCTATAATCAGCAACACTTAAAAGAACTGCGTGATATATATGTATATATATATATATATACATGCCGGGTGAACATTTCCGAAACTTGTTATATGAGAACAGATTTCTAGAGAAATTTGTTTAGGTCTCCATGATGAGAACAGACAGAGAGAAATGCCAGCAAACTGCGCAGAAGAAATGTAGGTATATGACTATACCGATGAAAAGAGAGGCAGTCACTGAATTACTGACATCGAAACTCAGAAAAATAATAGTTAAAACATTCTTTTTTTGCTGAAACACTATGTTTAAAATTCACCACTCATAGGATAATTTCATCGCAGATGAAGGATAAGCCATTGAGGTCTGGCCACTTTAATGTGTATCTATAAATTTAACTGTTCTTGTAGAGGCAGTTACTTAAGTAGAGCAACTAGGCAAGCCTAGTGTAGCTTTCTTAGGCATTGTCCAACTTTTATAGGTGAACAAATCGCACAGACAATCAGGAGTTCCATATTGGCATCTCTTTAGGATACGAAGAACAAGACTGATATAAAATCCAGCCTTTATACAAATCTATACAAGGTGCCAACTCAATTCACTAAGTTTCTGCCCCTTAGATTGCTAAGCATAGCTAAGGAAATTGCTATAAAAAAATTTCAACCCAACCTCTGTGTTCACAAAAACTTTGCTCGATCCCTTTCCCTTCCATGACCTTCAACCCAGTGACACCGGATAACTGTATATATTATTACTATTTTTATTTGTAATTCTAACTTTGTTATAGTTGTACAATTTAGTCTTAATTTCACAATTTATCGTCACTGTATTATCTAATCGTTATGTGAAAATAGTGATTTTAGCCCTCTACTTCTACTAGTATGCACATTTTACTTGATTATATTTGATTCTATTTACTCTACATTATTTCAAATGCTTATGAACATTTTATTATATAACTGTAAAACCTGTTGGGAATTTACCTAAAATACGTATTTGCCTGCTTAAATAGCGTTCTATAAGTACCGATAAAAGTAAAACAGCGAGAAGTTATCAAAAGCGAGTTGAAGCATTCAATAATACTGGAAAAAGTATACGTGATAATCAAAGGAAGCAAGAGGAGTGGTTGTTCTAACACAGTGTGAGAGGCATGCCGTTTCTGTCATGAACTAAATTAAATAGTGATATTTATGTATAGTGTGGCACCGAGATCACTTTTCTAAAAAGATACAATAAAAGTCTGATTTATATTTTCTTTAAGTATGCAGCAGTGATAGACTCACGTAATACAGCAATTCCTAAGTCGAATGTAGGACAATGGGTAAGAGAAGGGTGACCTTTTGCAATTAAATGTGTTCTCTGAGCTGGCTGGTTTAGAAGAAGGGTGACCTCCTTGTTTGTCAACTTTTACATCAATAAAATGAATGAATACAAACAAATTATGCGCCAAATTTTTTCTACGAACACCTTTTAGGAGATATCAACTATCTGAATAAGGAACTAGAGTCGTTACCGAAGCACATATCAGCAGCAAATTCCTTTTAAAGGGAAAATACATGGATAAATTCATGTGTGTGTGACTTCAACAATCACCAAACAGGCAGACTGACAAGGTTGCATAGGAATGTTTAAGGAACTTCACAAAAGTTGAACGCTACCCATATCTTTCTTGTAGATAGTAGATTATTTTAAGACTGTAGTAATTTGAGTAATCATTGCAATGCTGATAACTAGAGGAAACTACGTGCACTATTGCCAATATTTTTACACTGGGTTCGAATTCTGATCACTCACATCTCACCGAGTATGAATTCTACTGAATGGACACTTGAAGTTGGACTGAATTTGACGATGCTTAGAATGCAGTGAAGAAATATTTGAAATTTGCAGAGATCCTCAACTTGATGCAGTCCGGTACCTTATTAAGTTCGCCGCATGGCGAAGAAACAGTATAACTTAACAGTTTGATGCTTAAAACACCACACTGATGGGTGATTCCTACCATTATACATAAATGAGAGTCCCAAACCTTTTGTATATGTCAAATGGACATCTCACTTACAGAAGATGTAAAAAAAAAATACACACCAGGAACAGATACCAGTTACATATTTTATCCGAAGACAACACTTTTCCATGTTGACGTCATTGCAAAAGTTTTCACTGAGATTAACTCCTTAGCAATTACAACTAGTTAACGAGAGCTTCACTGCTGAGGAAGGAAAATTGACAAATCAGTTCAAAGTTGTGAAATATGTCAGGTGAGTGGCTAGTACAAAACAGTATGCATTAAAGAGGAGATAATAAGACTGTGGTTAGGAAATTCATCATGAAATAATCAATATGTGAAATGAAACTGATGCTGTCATATACTGAAAAGGGAAATAATATCACTGATAATTAATTGGAGCGGTGTAAATGGAGAATTCGACAGCACTAAAAGAATGACAGAATGAAGGATATAAGTAATAAGACATTTTAACTAAAACTGTTAAAACAAAGAGAATGGGATATAAATAAACCAAAAACCAAAAAGAGGGATGAGGAAAAGACGTTATCAAGGGAGAGTGGGAACAACATGAAATCCAAGTTTGACTGCGGTAGAAACGAAGCCTGGAAACATGCCTTTTGAATACAAAATCCCAGTTTAGAAGGTCTCATTACAACAGTCTCAGCTATATGTCGAAAAAGTAGGCGAACTGTGACTGATTATGACTTCTGAATGTGGTATATAAGTCAGAAGGCTGTGTTAGCGTCAGTGCCATGTCCTGCATCCAGCACGTATGGTAGAATTGAACTTTTTATGTTTACTATCCCCCTTTCTTAACCAATTTTCTCAAATCAGTAGATAAACATGCCTAATCACACAGCACTTATAACTTGAACCACAGGGACGGTTGAAACGGTATATTTAAAAGCAGGAGCTAAGATTAAGACATTTTTCAGTTATTGGGATAAACATTGGACTGCTATTTAACGATAAAAACAGATATCCAGAGTGATAAGTCCTTTTTACCGCTTTGTCTAGACATTGGGGGAAAACCTCCGCAAACTCAAAAATGATGGCTTTTCCTACACGATGGCCAGTTCGTGTTTGCGACTATTACAACCTATGTTGACTTTTATAAACTTCTCTGAATCCTCGTTTTAGCTGACAATATTCCGGATGACATGAAGTTGTTTCCCCTACGCATTCTTCGGAGAAAATTGGCCTCTCAGTAAATGCTAATCAACTAACGTTTGTATTTGGTTGATATGAAGCTTCGGTCTTTAGCTCTCTAAATCTGACTCCTTTACTGGTCCCATCTCTTCTCGTTAGTGAGACGTCGGGAAAGTGCAGCGACTTATTGCATTCTCCTTCGTAAGTGAAATGGACCACTGGGTGAGCAGTATCGAAGTGGCTCAAAGTCCAATCACTGTATAGGCCCTTTATCGTAAATTATAAGTGTCATCCATGTAACGACAGTATATATTATTATTATTCCCCTGGGTTCCGAGTGGAACATAGGCCTTCAACAACACATCTCCACTTTCTTCTATTTGGTGGTATCCTCTTCAGATGGGTCTACGATTGACCATAATCGCTCACCTCCTCGCAAGATCTCCTCCGTGTCACCCTCGGACGACAGTACGGTTCCATTTTTGCTATTACATGTTTCAACGGACCATTTTCTTAGTTTTGCTAGAAATATGTCCGCATATATAGGACCTAGCGCTATGATGCCCATACCTATATATTTTTCAGTACATTTGATTGAAATAAAGACGACAAGGTCGGCACAGACGAGCTGATCACGAATACCGCTTGACTACGCTAACAATATTAAATGACAATTACGTTTCTCCCAGCCTGCTCTACTTAAGCGAGAACACAACGACGTGAGTCGAAAAGTATATTTCAGTATCAGTCACAGTATATTTTACATAACAATATATGATACAAAAAATCAATTATTTCCAAGTATTGGTTATATCAATTAGTCTACAACCATAATCAGTAAAATAGTGGGCGTTATTTTACGTAGGCCAATTATGATTGGTTTAATTCCAGACTGACCTCGACCACCACATTACCAATAAAAGATAATCCATCGTTTATCTGTCTACATGTCACCTAGCGGAGATCCCATGGCTACTCCAGTAATCTGTTTATATATTTCATTACTAAACAAAGACTGAATATTCGGATGTTTCAGATTAGTAATAGGAATATTTGTGCACAACTTTCTTTCTATAATCTGTTCCCGGTTTCCACCAAAAGTACACTAGTGATGAATAAGGATGAAGCATCAAGGGCGTCGTTGCCTTAGCGGTTAGGACGCTCGCCGACCATGCACATCGTCCGGGGTTCGATCCCCGGCCGATGCACTCCTTTACCTCGCTAAGCCAGAAATAATGCTGGTGAAGAGGAAAGGTTGGGCATGAAGCTAGCAACCCCATCCTGTAAAATAAACACTGCTACAGAAACTTCAAGCCACTGGCTTGAAGCCCTATGTTCCACTGGGGGACGTGAAGGGAAAAAAAATCAAGCGATGTCATATATTGGTCAGTTGAATTCAAGTTTTTCACCTTATCAATAAACTGGAAGAGTTCCTTTCCCACAATGTATGAATCTGTTTTGACTAACCACCATCATCATCGTCTCTCATTTCACAATATTTTGTAATTGCATTCAGCCCAGAATGCTTTTCACCCTATAACTTATCTGTTATTTCACATAAGAGTGTATTCAACGTACAACTGGCAATTATTGAAGGGATATACGTTACACTTCATAAAAATATTCTTAATTCAGGCTGACTCTTAATTCATGATATGGGGATATTTCACATTCCTAAATTTTAGAATAAACAGGAGACATAGTCCCCTTATGGAATGGAACGGGAATTATACTCTACCAAAGTGCCCAAGTTTTATCCTTATATCAATATACATAAGGTGACAGTCCTTAATAGATGAAATGCAGGACTTACGAACCTTTTGAGTTACCATTTAAGGAAGTTTTGCACTGTATTCAATCATCACGTCCTAAAAGTATGTCAGAACTTTAGAAATGGCCATGGGTATAGGATAAAGAATATACGACAAATACATGTATCATTTGAGTGGACTTGTAGATCACTGAATTGAAACGGTGTTACCCCCAAACCATAGGAGTGAAACATTTCGTTTTCGATGGCATATTAAGTTGAATACTATGATGACCTCATTTAATGGTTTAACTTTAAAATTTAGGAATTGAAACAGTAAACGTATCAATGAAAACAGTCGAAGCCGTGTAGTTTTTGATATTAGTACTCACTAAGGTCATTCACATGCACAACTAAACTAATATCACAAGATAACTTTTTATTCGGAATTCTGTCAAATACCCCGGGAGAGAATTTAACACGACAACTTAAAATCAACATTAAATCGCACACAGAAACTGTGTATCTGTAACAGTCAGAAATGAAAAGTTCGATCTGCTAATGAAATTTAATTTTACGGCTAAACAGTATAATAATTAGAATAGAATAATTATCAGCTGAACTTACCCAAAATTGTAAATTTTCTCTATTTTCTTTACCAGATGCCAACATATCTACCACAGTAGGAGTTTGTCGGGCAATTTCAGAGATTATATGCAGAAACACAGAGGCTGTTTGCAACTTTTTAGTAGATGCACCCGATAAAAACTCAGAAGTATTTCTAGGTGAGTGGACAGTTGTGCGTTCCACAAAAGTAGGCGTTTCATCTAAAGCAAACCGCATACTGTCAAGTAAGTGACTAACGATTGAATGCCGATCAGAACTACAAGCAAAGTAAGAAAAAAATTGTGCAGTGTGAACCATCAACGTGATTTTTTTTTTGATTTTATCAATTAATTGTAAAATACTTTTGAAATGCATGTACCTCATAACTGTTAAGTAAAGATATGATACAACCTAAGAGACTTGTCAGCTTTACCATTCTCATTATATGCTGCTATTTCATGCAAACAACAACCAAATAATTTGCGGCTTTTCGCTTCTGCTGGAATTAACACTTTTTTGCAAAACCACTGGTTGGTTATCTAAGTGTTAGTAGCCTGATTAGACACCTCAATTCTCTATAGTACAACACCAACTTGAAATAATACATTTTGCAACGGCATAGAAAAAAGAGTAAACCAGTCCTAATGCAACGAAATTAATATCGACAAAAAGTTAAATAAAACAATAAGACATTTGAAGAAAAAAAGTGGCAGAGAATTCTGTCCGATCTCTTCAGTAGCATACAACCTGTAATATTTTTTGCATTAAACAATAGTAGTGTTCTACATACTTTATTTCTTTGCATAGACCTCCTCATAAATCACCTAGTACAGACGAGGGCAGCTAGACTAGATATAAGTAATCCACTAAAAAAATGCAGGTGTCCGTTATCCATGCGTGACACAAGTTTAAAAACTGAAAAGCCCAACAGATTTTTGATGTCCACATAAAATTGAGATAACAGACTTCTAAGGATTCACTGTCAGCCTACTGACGCCTAACAATAAACATCCACCTAGCGAATTTAAACTTCTTCAATGGTCATCTTACTTACATGCTGTTACTAGCAAGTTGTAGTTTTAATTCATCGTTAGTCAATTTGGAAGTTAAATTCAAAATGTAGTCAGGATTTATACGATACAATGTTTGTGCATTATATGAGATACTGTAAAGACTCCTTCCGAAATCCTGAATATAAGAAAAGAAGTTCAAAAGAGAAAGGAATCAAAACAAGCCTTACATTTAAAAAATACTGTATATATATTTAATTCGTGGGGATTCATTTTCTAGTGAATTAAAGTGGAATAGAGTAAATTTCTTCTCTTAAGTTCCGTTAATTATCAAGAAAACAACACATGAATTGCAATAAGGTGAAATACCTTGATCTCGAAATAATGGGGAAGATTTGTAGCTCAGGTGGATGATTTTGATTCAATTGTTCTCTGAGCTTAGAGAACAAAACTAAATCAAAATACCTCGATCTGTAATTAGTCAAACCATTACTATTATTATTATTTTCCTTCACGTTCCCCAGTGGAACATAGGGCTTCAAGCTAGTGGCTTGAAATTTCTGTAGCAGTGTTTATTTTACAGGATGGGGGTGCTAGCCTCATGCCCAACCTTTCCTCTTCACCAGCATTATTTCTGGCTCAGCGAGGTAAAGGAGTGCGTCAGCCGGGGACCGAACCCCAGACTATGTGCATGGTCGGAGAGCGTCCTAACCGCTATACCACCGACGCACTAAAAGTTGGTATGTCGCTGCCAGGATTCGAACCTGGGTTAATGCGGCCACAACGCAATGTCCTAACCACTAGACCACAGCGACCGTCAGTCAAACCATTGCGCCAACAAAACAACAGTACTAGACTTCAAGTAAGGAAACTGCAACGAGTAATTGCTTTCATACTTTCAAAAAATTTACTAATGCACTGGAACTTGTCAAGTGCTTATGCGGACACGATTAAAAGTGAAAATTATGTCGGCGGTGTACGATCTCTAGCGCTAACAAGATTCACTTGGCGAACACTTGAAAGTGTAACACGTCCAATAGTATGATTGAAACATATTAAATTACTAAACCTACAATCACTAGTTATTTCCAGAGGCTTACGTGATACTTCTCACACAACCCTTTATTTTTCTATTACATTGAATCCATCGTTACGTAATAAGCATTGAAGGCTACTACTACTATCACCACCACCACCACCATATTCGCACTACACCAACTATTATTTTTGTTGGTATAATTATAGTTATTTGTCATCCTGTGCTGTTTCATCAAATGCATTCAACTCTGTCTATCACAATACAGCTTTTGAGTTTTATTTTGTCTTTACTGGCTGTTGTATATACCAACAATGTAGAGTTTGGGGAAGGAAATATAGGAAACCATTTTTTACCTCTCATTGTTCCTGTTTTCAATAAATTATGGACAAATTAAAATTAATGCATTGAAACCTAAAAGACTGATTCACAAACAAAGCCATAATAAACGGTGGCTAAGAGTAGAAAATACCACTCACTATTAAAAGATATGTGTCGTTAAAACAGACGAGATTACAACATAATATCTATATTATTGTTCCCTTGGTTCCCGAGTGGAATATAGGGCTTCAACAACACGTCTCCACTTTCTTCTATCTTCTGCCGTCCTCTTTATATGGGTCAACGATTGCCCATAATCTCTCATCTCTTCGTCACACGACCCACTCAACGCTTTCCATTTGGATTCCACTCGAATGATGGCATGCATTACGCGCGATGTCACTCGACGGTCTCTTCAACGTATGCCCAATTCATCTCCACTTTCTCCTACATATTTGTTGACCGATCGGCTCTTGGTTGATTCGTTGCCAGAGTTTCTTGTTACTAATCCTTTTTGGTTGGCCATTTGATCTTAAGTATGAAACTAGCGAAGGCGGCTGTTAATAAGAGTTTGTATTCAGTTAGAAATGCTTTCCGTGACGCGCCGGCCAAATTTCTGACCCATATAGAAGAACTGACTGACATTACACAGGTGTTGAAAATCCGAATCTTGTTCTTTATGCTGCGGAGTGCAGATTTTCAAACCGATTTCAGATTGATGAAGGCGTATTTTGCCTTCCCAATTCTGCCTGGTTGGCTTTGACATCCTCATCCGTTTCGACTGGCTGTGGTTGAAACGATGCTTCCCAGATAAGTGAAGGAAGTAACCTCTGTCAAATCTCTCCCTTTGATGGCGATTGGTGCTGGTTGTTGTCTCTGTTGGTTGGTTATCTTCGTCACTTCTGTCTTCTCTATGTTCACCTGAAGTCCCATCTTCGCTGCCAGCCGCTTCAGCCATTTTGTAAGTTTTCGCCTGCAAGCCTTCGAGTTTGTGTGACGCTAAATACAAGTTACCTGTGAAATTCAGATCTTCTAGAATCTTTTTACCAGTCCAGCGTATTTCTGTCTTCTCACTCCGCACAGTCTGACGTATGATTCAGCCCACTATCAGGAATATAATTGGTGATGACTGGCAGGCAGTCTTATCTTATTCACGTATTCACTTCAAAAGCTTCGCTGAGTTTTCCACTATGGATCAAGTGACATGCAGCATTGTCATATAGTTACATAATAGCTACACCTTTAGTCTACTGTGAAAATTACAACCTTTTCCAATAAAAACAACTGCATGTAAGACTAGCAAATCCAGAGCATCAGAGATAGAAAAGCTTGTAAACGCTAAACAAAACTTACAAATATTTTGGAAGAATTTTCGGACACATGAGGACAAGTCCAGTCAGAGTCTGAAATACGAAGAATGAAAAAGCGTGGCATTCAGAAAATGAAAATATTGTGTGCTATTCGTTAGAAAAAGAACTTGAAGCAACAATCCATTGAAAATATCATGACACCGATAGTCACATTCATAAAGAAAACTGAATCTGTGTACTACCAATTGAAAAGCATGTGTCGCAATAGACACACATATGATATAACATCTAACTCTACGAGTTGAAGACTACAGATCATATAACAAAGACGCTGCAGCAAAAAATTAGATTTCATAACCTTAACAAAATCAAAACTGCATTCAACCTTCTCTGTTGGAAAATATATAATCATTAGGGGTGGAAAGGTTTATTTTGAGTTCAGATTTCATTTTTAAACAAAAATATAAAGGGAAGCAGTTGGTGAAAACGTTTACTCCACTGTAAACAACTTCCGGATAAAAATAAGAGTTTATCAATCCGTGTTTGCTCCGTTACCTGGAAAAAACAGAAATGTTTAACTTCAGGCTCCTTGTCTGATGACAGTAATCCAAAACAATAATTTTCAGCATAATGCAGAAGGTAAAAGTTACATTGTATTTGTTTTGACCGACTGCATTTGCATCCGAATACGTCTGAAATATCCCCTTCCACTTAATTTGAAATTACTTCAAAAGTTCTGATCCTGTTAACGAATGGTTGCAAATGAAATACTTCACGACGTATGAAAAATGAACCCTCCAAATCCTAATGTTTAACATGAATGCCAAACTGGGAGAAACAACACTCCAACAGGACTCTTGATCGGTCGGGAAGCTCTTGGAGAAACGAGTGAGAACGAAGAACACCTCTCAGACTCATGCTGGTTCAAAAATATGGTGATGAGAAGCAGCGTGTACAATTACAAGGATACACACGAAACGGTATGCGTTTCGCCTGACTGACGCACACACGAAAAAATCAGATAGAATTCATCTCAATCTCAAGAAAGTGGAGACGCAGTCTACTGAACACAAAATAAGAGAAGAGGAACAGATGCAGACTGAGATCACTGACTGTCCAGTGAGCTGGTGCAAGGAACCTTCTAGGTTAAGTCGAAAGCATCCTCAGTAGTAGCTGGAGATAGACCACACTTGAAGTTCAACAATCAGAAAGTGAGGGATGAAACTACACAGCACACCTTCACTGCAGCTATGAGGAAATATTTGAAGACATCAATGGGAAAACTTCTGTGGAATAAAACTGGGACCCTTTTTGTAGGGGGTGTTGAAGGGAACCTGTACAGCCATCTTAGGAAGGAAGAAGAGGCGAAACTAGGAATGGCTGTTTATGGACACGTGAAGGCCAATAGGAGAAAGAGAGAGGAATGATTCGACGAAAGATGAGCAACGAAAGGAGGAACTGACTTCAAACTGCAGCACGCCGAATAAGGAAGTGAAGAAGAATGCCAGGAAGGATAAAAGACAGCCTCATGGCAAACTGGGAACTGAAAAAGAACAGGCTCAATGGTAAGAGGGAGCTAAGAAGACTATAACAGATAACCAGGTCGCTATCTTGGAAGAGGTCAACACGGATGAGACCAATGAAAAATAGTGAAGGGGACGTAATAACGATAGACCACCAGAGGCATAGGAAACAACAGGCTGATAAAGTCAAAGGACTGTTGAACTGGCCACCACCTGCAACTTGTCCATCAATACCACTGTCAGTGAATAACAATTCTTCGAGGAAAGTATGAGTTTTGAATGACATGAAGCTACTGTGAGCCGAGAAGACAGCATGACCAGATGGAATTCGCCCAGAAGCAATCACACAAAACTGATCCACAAATCACAGAGGATATCCTCACGGTATTATTACTGAGAGTTTGGAAGGAAGGAAAGGTACCTGCTGATTGGAAGGTCGATTATCTCGTCAAGCTACCAAAGAAAGATGCTGATGTGAGACGCCTTTGCAAGAACTGGTACGAAGTCATGCTGGTGTCTACGCGAAGCAAGATATTGAGTCATGTCATGCTGGAGACTATAACATGTTCTTGATGCAAAACTCCTCGTGAAAGAAACTGGATTCAGTAAAGGTAAATAAATCATTTGCAGTCCAACTTACAACAGCACGTATCATAATCGAACAGAGCATAGATTGGAAATCAAATCAGTGTTTCAACCTTGTCGGCTTTGAAGAGGCCTTCGACAGTATTGACAGTGAAGTGCACTTTCACAAACTACCTGCCTTCCAATATCTGTCATGAAACGTATTTTCACTGCATTTTTGTCTGGTTTTATGTTTTCGGCAACTTGAAGTAATACACGCTTACATATAAGTCTGAAATCCAGATATCGTGTAATTCTGGATAAAATGGGGTAATTTGAAATACCCAACGATAAAAGGTTAGATGTGGATATTTATTCCCGAAATACGCATATTTTTTTCAGTCAGGTATGTGACAAACAGAAAATGACAAGGAAATAATTCTTACCTTTGGCTAAGTATTCACATGAATCTATAAGTGGAACTCCATTTTCACATTGGTAAGTGTTATCAGTTTCATAACAATCATGAATACCAGCATCACATAGCAAACGACCCTGATTAGCTGCATGAATACATATATCCGATCCACATATTTGTTCCTTCATATATGAGTATGAACTCTGAAAAGAATATAATTATTGAAGTTGTAAAGTCAGAATTACCTTAAATTTGAATACTGAACTGCCTTTATTTAGTTTTATGTAGTGTATTTTTTGATTTAGTTGTGTTCCCTGAGCTGACTGATCACGACACCGGTTATCAGGCGATACAATTATATCATTCACGAAGAATTCAAATAAGTTCATTTCATACGAAAAACTGTGCTGAAGATATTGTCTAGATGGACAACGACTGTTTCGCAATTACATCGACCAGCTCAGAGAGTACAACTAAATCAAAACCGTCCATCTGAGCTACAAATCTTCTTAATTATTATGTGTAATGTAATGAAAAACCAAAAAAAGCTTATCTGTAGATATAACTGTCTCACAGTTTGAACCTAAACCCTCATAAAATCCGAAGTAGGTCAAAACAAGATTTGATTCAGTCATCTTAAAAGTGGCCTCAAGTGCTATAGTATTTAGCCCATGAAATCAATATCTGTTGATTAGGGCTCCTTAAGGAGGTGTAGGTTGACTGTGACGTGTAGTGATACACATCAAAATACTTACCAATGTTTCGTAAGTATTAGCTATTTGATGTTTTGGAAATTCTGGACTCCAGCACTCTTTCATACATTGTATGCCCTCTTATAAACGAATGTACATCTATTGACATGCTGCAATAAAACCTGTTTTCAAATGCGATGACTTCAACAGATACCCTTTAGTGGCTGTCGCTAGATTGCCTTGTTTGTTATCCTGTCCCTTTAGACCTCTTTATATTTATTCCGCTTTTCATAGTGTGCGAAATTTCTTGGATGTTTCTCAACCTCAAACCAACTAAGCGTTCGTTTATTGTATTGGCCTTTCTAAATTCGGGTTGTGTTTGCCATTTATACACTGTGAAAAAGAAGTTTTTGCTTATAAATTGCTGATCTATTTGCTGCCATCGTCTTTATAATTTTTTATTTTTCAGATCCCTTCTGTCCATGTATACTTGGGCAGTATCGTGAATTATATATCCACTCTAGTTACTATTGTCGCTCTATTCTTGTTTCTCATATTTTCTCGATTCCCGTGAGTTACTCTTTCACTTACACTATTTTGTATGCAGTTGACTGCATATTTTAGGAGAGTTTTCTTATGAAAATCTGACACTTGTTTCAAGGCAACACAAGCCTACCTTTCTTGGTGAAAGAATAGTATCCACAGTCCTCGAACCAATCAAGTGTCCACTGAATTTAAAGCAATGTGTTCCCATTATCGTAACCACCTTACAGTTTTGTGAATTATCCAGTTAATTATTGCACTCAGTTGATTGTTGTGTTGAAAATATGAATATGAACTGAGTTTCCATCTATCTTAGTGTGATATCCGCGAATGGAGTTTGTGTGGAAAGAAGGAATCTTTCGGTAGCACATAAAATGCAATACTGGGAGTTGGAATAAAAATCATAAGCACAAGTAGTCAGATTCATAAAGAATTTGTAGGAGGTTGTCTTCATTTATCATTTCTGATTGTCTGGGAGATTTCTGTGTGTGACGGAGTGATAGAACAAATGAAGCTCAGTGAAATTCTCCTAAACGTCGAAGATTAGAAGAGATGAGCAGTTTCGCACTATGTTTCAAACCTTCTCCAACCACTAATTGTCAACAGTCTACCGATAAAATAACTGAAATGATGAATAGCCAATGACTTCATAGAATAATGCCATGGTCTGACCTGGGAACCAACACACATTCCCAACCTAATCCTACTTCACACCTAGAATTGCAGTTCTCGAAATCATTAATACATAGGTGGATGCTTGACCTGTAGTGTACATAGATGTACGATATCCAATCTTGGGCCTTAATACAGGTATGGAAGTAAAAACAAACAGTTTAGCGAAGATAGTTAGTCTTTTCGGAAATAATAAAGGCGCGTCATCATTCTGTATGAAGTTAGGAGTCAGTGGAGTTTTGACGACACAGATACAGTAATATACGACGTCCCGAAATATTCTTCTAGTGTCACTCATGTAGTAGTGTACAAAAAGTGCAATACCAATTTCCCTCAAATCACGGTGTTTTATACGAGAAGCAATAAATGAATGAAAGATGTTTTATCGTCAGTTATGTTAAGTGATTGAGGTAGTAGGTAGAAGAAGTAGCAGTGAGCGACATTAGGAAATGGATGAATGGAATGTCTCACAACTTGCCTTTCTTCGCTGAAATAAAAACTCAGTAGCTGATAATCTGTTCGCATTCTTTTTGTTTTCTAATGGGCGTAAGTGGTTTATTGTGAATGGTCTTTTGGCTACTCATTTAATATACACAACCGCTATCTGAGCTGCATTTAAGCATCATAAGCGCTTTTTGTTTTCTCTCTTATATTGGAGATGTGCTTTTTAGTATCAGACTTGATTGATGTGTAGTGTAATTTATTGCAGAATAAAACAAATAGAACATAGGAAAGTAATTGCAAATATTAATAATAATATTAGTAATAAATAATCAGTCTTAACTAGATATCTCTAGCCTACATTTCTTTGAGTGAAGACGTTCATCGTTTGCCTTCATTGGTGATGCAGCCTTCTTTAGAATAGTCCTCCTTTCCACCTTTCTGAACTGTTCTACGTTCTTTCTCAATGGGTTGCGTCGTTTTTCTAATTATGGGTTTTTCTTTCGTTAACACTTGTTATGGAGTGGACAAGACTATTCCAAAACTGTAATAAGGTCACACACAAACACACACAGAGGAAATATGTCCATCATTCGGTTTCAATTAGTCTCCTTCCTCATTCAGGTACCGACATCATTCGGATATCCATCGAAAAGTGTTGTGAACTGCCCTTTTGTTTCGTTGTGGTTTGTTTCTCGCCTTTAGTGCGTCTCCACTACTCCTCCACCAGGGTTGAAACCCTTGGCTTGTGATGGCAAGTGATGTAGCCACCGTCAGTCCCAACTTATACTGACTCTTGTTTCTGTTCAATTGCGCGTGTTTGTGTGTGTCTTCACACTTGCCCTCAATGGATGTTTCTAAGAAATCGATTTCGAAGTCACTAATGAAAAGTGTTTGGTTGGTAGTCAGCCACCGTTAGCAGATTTTGTTGTCGATGCACTAGACTAGAATGATGCAGCTGTACACTACTTCACACTTCTTTAAATGGTATCGATTCCTGATAAAATCTACACTGATATCAACAACACACCAAAGTTTTGAGTAGCAATCATTGTCGCTTTCTGGTAGTTCAATAGGTGTACTAGGACGGCTGAAACCCATTTCACTTTCCTACAAAGGCTATTGTTGTTCCAGAATCTAAGAAAACAATCATATTTGTTTATCTACAGTAAGGGAATTCACAAATTCGTAGTTTCGACTGTAGATATAACGTCAGATAACCTGTTCGACTCAGCTTCTAGTAAACGATGAATTAATCTGTAGCAGGCATCAATGAGTAATCAAGTGTTACTCACGCTATAAGTAATTTGGTCTTATGCATTATTCATACTACGATTTCATTGCTTTACTCCATCACAGATATCAAGATCAGTCAGGATGTGAGAAGTAGGATTGCTTTGTCTTGTGCGTCATAAAAGTCATGGTATCTTAAAAATTCTCTGCTTGATGCTTAAAAAACTCAAAGAATTTCTTATTAACCATGCATTTGTGTTTATTACGTACACTCGCCGTATACATATACACACACATTTTCTAAATTTCTTTTGCTTGTATTATTTAGTGGTGTCTTTCGGCTAGATCAATTCAACATCGCTTTTTGTTTAATGATTAGCGCAATAGTTTCTCTAACCATTCCGCATATAACTGATAGACAGCATATAATGTGCACAGTGGTTGCAGTTGCTGTGTGCTATTTTCCTCTGGCTGCATTCGCGTGGAAGTTTATTTTCGGTTTGAATACGTTGATATTGATGTAAGTGGAAAGTACGTTTACTGATATGTATTCATTTTATTCCTTGAAAGTATTCCAGGTCAAGTAGAGATCCTTTTCCACAGTAGTTTTGCCTTGCAAACGCGTCTTTTCACAGTAAGCAATGATAGGAGTGTATTCATCATCACAATGAAGCCTTCCTAATTCTTGTGCTCCAAAATACTATTTCAGCTAAATAAGGTTAGAGTATTAAGAAGTATTTTTGGCTTGAACAAAAGTAATTATCTAAATACCAATAGGGGATGTATACAAACGCATATAAATTGCATCAGTGAACTTATGTTTCACTTGACTCATTAATTTCAATTGAAGAACTGGCTTAGTTGTTATCAGCAATAGCTTCCAACCGCAGATATGCATGTTGTCAATGAATAGCGACTGTTTAACCATATCATATTACTGCTTTTACTATCCGTCAAGGTGATCCACATGTCTTCATATAAATCATTTATGCTACAAAATACCTCTTGAAGCATTGGTCGGTCGGTTTTCGACATAGAACTTTGCACATATGTGCGGCAGTTCTAGTCGCCACACTCCATGTAGCACACAAAGCAAGAGAAGAAAATAGGAGAAATGCATGTTAGAGACAGTAAACAGAGGTATGAGACAGAGGAATAGTAATAACGAAGAACAAAACAGTTTACCTGGAAGTCATAAGTCACAAGGAGTGGATGCATCTGCGCCACTGAGAACGATTTTGAGCCATGTCACCAATTGTTTCCAACCATTGGTTTTTACCGTCCCGAGGACCCCAACCAGGCTTAAACTAACTGTTGTGGATTTTATTGACTGGTGCCATGTTTTGGTTTGACTGCCGCTAGCTCTTCTCCAGTCTGACCCTATGTCAGCTAACATTGCCCGTCGAGGAAGGCGATGACTAGGCATACGTAGCACATGTCCCAACCATCTCAGTCGATGTAATTTCACAGTCTCGTCGACTGATTTCCCCGCCTCACCTAGCACTCGACGCCTAACCTCAATATTGCTCACCTTATTATACCACTTCACGCGGGAGATAGAACGCAGACACCTATGATCGAACACAGCGGTCTACGTGCTCTACCACTTCACTTCCTATTTCTAATCTAGGGGTCGGTGAAGTCCAATCCTGCAGCATCATCTTACATTTTACAGGGGCGAATCGCATGCCAAACATACGAAGATTGTTGCTCAAGGTGTTCAGAAGACTCTGTATTTTGTCAGCGTCCTCGCCTAGAAGGACTATATCGTCCGCATATTCTAAGTCGACGAGATTATTCCCTGGTAGCAAGTCAATCCCTGAGTCGCTGAAGTGTGTTAGGGTTAAGTTCATTAGTACGTCTATGATGAAATTGAATAGGAATGGGGATAATGGGCATCCTTGACGGACGCCACTAGTCGTCACCACTTCAGATGACAACTCGCCATAAGCCCTCACCTGGCTGCATGAGTACGAGTAGAGTGCCTTAATCAGTGCAATGTATTTTCTCGGCATTCCCTTTACAGCCAAGCATCGCCAGAGAACCTCTCGGTCGACAGAATGGAATGCCGCCTTTAGGTCAAGAAATATAATGATTGTCGGACGCCGGTAGGAATGCCTATGTTCTAGAATCTGTCGAAGGGTGAAGATATGATCAATACACCCTCTACCTGGCCTAAAACCTGCCTGGTTTTCTCGTGTTTGTGTCTCCCGAGCACCACTTAGTCTACGCAGTATTATTGAGCCTAGGATTTTAGATACTATATTAGTCAAGCTAATCCCTCTGTGATTATCACAAGAAGACTTGTCTCCCTTCTTGTATATCGGGATGATCAGTGACTTACACCAACCCGATGGGACTTCCTCTGATTCCCAGACGCTGCCTAGAACCTCAGTTAATGCAGATAGTAAACTGTCTCCACCGTACTTAAATACTTCTGGAGTCATTCCATCAGGTCCCGCTGCTTTGCCTTGCCTCAGATTAGTGACAGCTTTAGTAACCTCAGTTAAGGACGGAGGACCTGTGTCTATATCCCATTCAGGGAGGTGTTGGATGTTCGGCAGGTTAAGTGTGGCTGTAGGCCAATTAAACTGCTTCTCATGGTGTTCTTTCCAGCGCTCCAGTCGTCTATCCTGGGAGCTAATTATGGTGCCATTTTTCTCCGAGATTGTTTCGCTTATCATATGCCTTTTGCCACCTGTTTCCCTGATAAGCCTGAATAGTTGTCTGGTGTTGCCAATCGCCGACGCCTTTTCCATCTCTTTCGCTTTTGTCGCCCACCACTGTTCACGGTCCTTGCGAAGACTTTTTGTTAGTCTTCATTTAAGTACCTTTCGCTCCTCATCATAATCGGAGCTCGCTGGAATCAGTCTTCTTGCGTCAATCAGTTCGGATGAGGCGGTAGAGATCCAATGGCCTTTATTAAATTTAGGTTTTAGCTTATTGACAGCTTTCACGGCTGTGTCCACAGCTAACTGTATGTTGTGCCAGGCTACCTCAGGGGAAACATTGAGTAATTCTCTCCTCCTTCAACCACCAGTCAATAATCTTTTCCATAATTTATATCTGCAACTTCCTCTCTCCTCTTGTTTTCTAATGAGCGTAATTGGTTTATCGAATGGTCGTCTTTTGCCTACTCATTTAATACACAGCCATCCAAGTTACATTTAAAGACCATAAGTCGCTTTCTTGTGTATTCAGTTTCTGTTTGGTGTATTCTCGGTGTTATTTAATCCGAAAGGATGAAGTTAACCGAAAAGTAAAATGCAAAAGTACGAAACTCATTGGAGTTTTCCACATTAGGGTGTTTTATACGTGTGTGCAAGACAACCAACACTTACTTAATCGACATTACAAAAGCAAGTATGGAAAACGAGACAGGCGGCTTCAATAACAAACTCAGTGTTAAACATATGACACGAGTGAAAGGTAACTTACTAATCCGTGTGGCGACCAATCATCTTTACCTTATAAAAAATGGAAACAAAAAGATTGTACTTGTAACTAGCCAAGTGAAAAGTACTAGGAGCTCGAAAAGCATCAATCACTAAATGATACTGCGATTTGAATGCATGTATCTTAACAATGCAACAAAAACAGTAGCTAAATGTAGCAAATAATTTTGAGCATCGGTATCACCATGAAAGTATAAGAGACGCTCATGACAACGTCTTAGATGTATACGTTTTTCCAACAGTAAGATTAGCAAATTATGAAGAGTACTGCCCACACAAAATTTGAACAATTGTGCATTTAAATGTACGCAAAGGTTTACTGGGAACCTTAGCTAACCTCGTCATTGTTTATCCTAGAACGCTTTTGTACGCTGTTGGATATCTAGTAACCCAATAACAGTCCTGTGTATGCAAATAAGCTAGAAGGTTCATGTAGATGGAATATGTTCTGATCATATTAGTCTACGCCCTAGTAGATCGACACCTGTATGTGACTAAGTACAGCCTCTGCAATTATTTGAGTGACTGTGAGAACAACAGGATAACAAAACCATACTTTCTGAGGTATCCCCAGGCATTATTGTAGTTCTGATTTCGATGACAGAGTACGCCTTCAAAATCAAATATTTCATCGTTCAATAAGATAAACTGAAGAAATTACCCTTCTTATGAGGTGTCATATATCCATTTAGATACATATTTCATATTTAGACTTGGGCTTTTGCTTCAAATCATAGCAGTAGATCTCGAACATGAAAGTATACAAATGGAATGTTTGAGGTAAATATTGCTTACTTGAAAAAGTTACAGATACGACGTAGTACGTTCCATTTATTCTTGCGAAACACCTGCATGGGAGCAAGACAAATATAGGCAAAATGAGTCATGGTAATATAACTAAGAGGACGACACGAAACCAAAACATTGTCTTCTGTAAACAGGATAACTTCACAATAACAAAACCTGTGCAGCATTTTGTACAAAGCAGCTTTAAGAATGACTGTGACTCAGTTACCAGGCCACCCACAACCATTTATGTTGCACCTTATCCCTGGGTAGTACATTGATTACTATATTAGCGGGTTTCTTAATGAGGTTGAGTACATGAGTGACAAGTAAGGTTCTACACTCACAAACATTAGCTTATTAAAACTACCATAAGCTGATGATAATAGTAAGCTCAAAGGTTAAGAGAAACTAAATCTTGTGAATCGTTCACCTGTTAGTACAAATTTTGTTGGCTGAGGCCTATCAAATACTTTTACAAAGTGGTCATTAAATTAAGGACTGCTACAATAATATCAACACAAATTCAGGAAGATAAGCTTGCATAACGGTATGGCAAGAAGTGTATGCATGTTACCATGCACAGAAATGAACAGCTTTTCATAGAGATGAGATGAACACTTTGCAAAAGAACACTGTAGCTGCCATGAAACATGAAAGCAAACAATAAAAACCTGGATTACATATACAAAACAATGGAAAGTAATGAACTTCTTACTCGTGTTTACCCATGGGAACAGGAACGAATTCATTTATTATTTTATAAAACATATCATTCTTATGGATTGTTTCTTCACCATTAAAAAATGTACCATTGATTGTATGACTGCGACATGTCCCATTACGCACTTCACCCTAAAGAGTAAGCAACCAGAAAAATGAAAAGTATTTACATAAGTTACGACTTAATAACTAATCAAGACTATGAAATTACCCCTATAATTGAAACAGGCAACAGGTAACAATTGACTTCAATAGAGTTACAACACTTAAGTATATACCTCGAAAAATAATATAAACGACCTTAAAATGAACATGGAAAGCAATGTATTCTTCAAAGAAACTTTTCTTGTAAGCCTTCATTTTCAAGCAGCTCAGTTACATTTACAATAAGTAAAAAGGCAGTCACTGGCGTTAAAACTACTCTCGTCAGTACATAAAAAACTAATTAGCACAACTGGTAAGCGATCCAATTAAACAGGATGAGATACAGAAAAGGTAACAAATAAACACGGTGGGTGAAGTGCTGTCCAAAATTTCAAAACCCGATGAAAATAATAATGGAAATAATTTTACCACCAGTATGTGGTGGAAATGAAACAGACCATTTCCTCGGTAAATAAATGCTTACGAATAATTTGGCATATTTTGCCATCCAAACGAACTCCCACTGAGACAAAAAAATGATACTTAAAGACAAGTTTGGAAAGGATTTAACCAGTGGATACACGGCTGCTTGACCTCAACATCCCACTTTTAACCAGTCCCAATGCCCACAAACCACTTCAGCCTGAGACTGGGTGATATCATGAACGACCACACAATGTGTGACTGGTGAAAGAAAGTGTGAACTATATACGCACAGCTTTGTACAAAAGTAGCAGTTTTAGATGCCACACTTCAAGGAAGAAAAGAAATAAAACTATTAAGAAAAATTTATGATAGAAAGGAAAATTACATGAATAATGAGGATCAAGTGAATCAAGACCACATGTCACGGCATGTAGTGAACAGAATGTTTTAGATAACACGGATTCGACTAATACTCTCATACGTTTCATTTTTTTTCCTTAGTGTTTACCGTTGCAGTGTAGTTACAGACTGAATCACTTTCGGAATGCTTATTTAGTTTACACTTTAACAATATTCGATTAAAAAACACTTTCAGTGTTGATCAAAAACCTAGAGATTTTCGTCCTATCGTCAATAACCTAAAAAATTTCGCACTCTGAAGAAAATACGTAATAACCAACACAGTGTAGTGCACAACTAGATACGGTGTACAATATCAACGTCTAAATCCAGCAGAAAAGTTAGCAACCATTAGGAGCAATAGTTATCGAAGTTATCAGAATACTCTCGAAGATGCGTTTTGATACACATAAGTGTAAGACTTGCCAGTCGTAAGTGGCAAATACCTGGAGAAAATAAAAACCACTGCAACATGTTATTCGGAAATGTTGTAATCCACTAAACCTTTTTATTTAGAGAAGTTCAAACTAGTGTAGTAATGCTACACTCCAAGCACTATCAGCATCCAGGTGTTCTGTCATTACTTACTGGTGCCTTTATAATTGTACACTTACGGAATAACCAAAACATTCGTCTTCTCCACAAAAACTAGTTAAATGTCCGCTTCATTGGTGGTAAGCAACTGAATTTGGTATACTTGACTATTTTTCCCGTTAGTACATATCTCGAAATATAAAGTAAAAGCTAATGGCATCAAATACCTTTCAAAAATACAGAAATTTGATAATACTTTAAGACGTAAATATTGCACCACTACAAAACTAACCTGTTTGCAGATAAAAAATATGTTGGTCATAGCTGAGTTGTCCTTGATATATATGGTCGCCGAAAGTTCCGGGCTATTAGGATGATCTACAACTAAATGATGCCTGAAAAGTGAAATACCACCAAGGCTTTCCAGGAATAAATTGGTGCTTAAAATGCCATTTGATGACGAAAATAAACATGTCTGGCGGATTCTCTTTTCATACGAAACATATATAGCTCTAAAAAGCATTATGAAGATGCCAGAGTACTTACACTATCTCTGGGACATCAGGAAACCAGTCTAAACGTAAAAATTCGTACTCGTCCCTAAGACACCCAACAGCCATTCTGTAAATTTTCCTTGAGGAGTACCATATTATGCTTGTCTAAAATACAATCAGGTGAAACTGAGACGATACACTCACAAACTCGTCACCCGGGCATAATAAAGTAGTCGAAGTATTGACCCACCTAGCGTAAGACTGTTTACCCAGTTGTGCCTTTAGTACAACTTTTACAACAAAGTTCGTTAGGATAGTTAACTTACTTTCACGATTACACTGTTCACCATACACTTGGACTGTGAAGGAAAATGCAAATAACGTGATAAAAAGTCCAGCAGTAGTTGACAAAAAGCAAGTCCTGGATTTTACGAAATCATTCTTCACGATAAATACTCCCCACAATACCAACCACCGACACATACCTAAACACTTCAGAAACTAAGAATACAATTTTAAACCTGATAATCTCTACAAGGACATTTAGGGATATGCTTAATGTCCAATACAAGTTGCTATAAGCAAACTGATTTCTTCAAGCAACCGAGAATTCTCGGTAGTGAAGCAACTCTTCTTGGATTTTGGTGAGCTCCTCGGTGGTCCTTCCTGTCGCCCTCCAGTTGCAGCTATGATGGATCCCCTAGAGAGCTCAATGGGAGGTCTGTTGTGATGCTGATGTGAGTGCGGTTGGTCCCGTAGTAGTAGATAATTCCCCAAAATTATTAGTCTGCAGCGATCATGGTTTCTGGTAGCTGTGTCTGACTTCAGTGAGCATAGGACCACTGGCCAACATGCGCAGATGCTTGCAGGTATCCACTCTCTACTGCGGGAATTTAGTAAGGGCATAGAGGTAAGCAATTCTTATGAGATGCTCAAAAAAGCCCTCCCTAAGAGAACTGATCTTGTGGATCGGTAGCGTCTCAATGAACCTTTTCGCAGTGTCAAATTAGATGATAACTTTCCCAGATACATGCTGGCACGAACGTGGAGGGTTATTGACAAGTTATTCCTATCTAAGTTTCTTAAAACATTACAGACTGTCCTTGTGGCGTCATCATCGATGATTTAGCTACTTCGGCCGACAGAATTCTTGAAATGTCACTGAAATAATCTGGATCTCTAAACAGTCTTAGAGTAGGGACACTGAAGTGACAGGATTATGCAACTCTCTAAAGTGACTACTTAGGTCAGAAAGCCCTGTATTTCTCCCTACCTTCGACAGGATTCCCCTCAGCGCAGAAACACACGTGGCCAATCGTAGTCTAGAGACGCTCACCTTAGAGTTGTGACTGGTGTTTGTATCATAATATCTGTGGCCAGGAAGCGAAATGTTGCCGAAAACCTCGCAATTTTGGCAAAGACTCCAGAGATTTAGAATAGTATCCCGCCGACAAGCATTAGCTGCAGCTATCACTTGTGGTAATAGCCTCCTACCTAACATTCACGATTTGATCAACAAAACACAACACTTGGTTGAGGTGCCGAAGTCACCTTCCTTCCTCCTAAGGAGGCAGATCGACGGAAGGAAACTACCCTCAACTTACAAGCTGCGAATGAAAAACCTATTGCAAACGCTGGTAAGGAACACATCTATTTGAACATAAATTTACGCAAACATATTCAGTGGATTTTCTTCCCTGCCGATGTTACAATTCCTGTCATTGTCACAGACCTACTGAAACATCATGATTTACCAGTAGATGTCAACCGAAAAAGACTGAAAGACGGCACCACTAGATTTTCTGCTAAAAGCATTACCTACATAAGTCACAGCTTGTCACTGGTTAAGGAGAAGGCAGTAGCTGATCCAATTTTTCAGTCGATTGCTGACAAGTGCCCAGAAATTAACTGACTACCTATCTACCGTGTATAACCAGCAATGTTATGTATCGCAGCACAACCTCAGGATAATCTTTGACACCCAAAGCACGGCGACTCACCCCTGAGAAAGGAATCTTACCATGTGCTCACCTTTGGCGTCATTCCGCCATCGAACGACCCATGGGCATTCCCACTACAAATGGTGCCATAAAAAGACAGCAACGATTAGCGACCCACTGGTGACTACCAGTGAGTACGCCGGTACGACCACTGGTTATTACCAGCTGCCTCATATTCATGACTTAACGGCAACACTACTTTGTGCAACTTGTTTCATGAAAATAAACTTGGTCAAAGTATATAACCGAATCCAGACATTCCGAAAATGGCTATCTGTGCGCCTTTTAGACTGTTTGAATTTCTACGTATGCAATTAGGTCCACGAAATGCAAAAACGATTCGCTGACGAAGCATTTCGTGATCTTGACTTTGTACACACATGCACAGACGACTGAATCGTTGTGAGTCCAAACAAGGAAACTCACCTTTGACACTTTGACTTGGCATTTGCTTACGCCGACATGGTGTTACCATTGATATCCAAAAGTGTCACAAAGGAGTAGAATCAACAGACTTTCCTGGCCACACCACTGACTGCAAGGATATTCGCCCAATAGCCAGTAAATATGAAGCAATTAGGAACTTTCCAGAGCCAGATAGGCGAAAAATCTCCGCACATTTAACGACTTATTAAGTCATTACCGGGCTTTATTCCTAAATGTGCCTCTCTGATTCAGCTGCTAACAAACCTTCTTCGAAGGAATAACAAGTCCATTGAACTTGACGCATGCTCTGGCAATGCATTCGTTCAGATTAAAAAGAGCTACTGCGGATGCCACTCTCTTTATATATATTAGAATCCAGCTGCACATTGAAGTATCTCAGTTGATGCATCAGTCACTGCAATCGGCGCACTTCTGCAACAACTAGTCCACGAAAAGTAGCAACCGCTCATCCTTTCCTCGAGACGCCTATAACCAAAAGAAACAAAGTACAGAACATTTGACAGAGAGTATCTGACTGCGTCCTTGCTTTACACCACTTCTGATACTGGGTGGAGCGTCGTGAATTCATACTATTCACTGACCACAAACCACTCACATACTTTCTTAACTCAGCCACAGATAGGTATTCACCAAGGTAATCAAGACAATTAGACTGAATTTTACAGTTTACATCGGACATTCGCCATGAATCGGCAGTGAACAAAAGTGTGGCAGATGTTTGTCGCACATTTGTTGTCTTTCTAACTGATGGAATAGATCTTGTGAAATTGACTCGTCTTCAAAGAGAAGATACTAAGCTTCAACGTGAGTTGCCGAAAACTACTCTGCAATTAGCCAAGAAACCCTCAGGCATAGGAAGAGACACCGTCCCTTATGATATTTCCACGAGTCCTCGCCACATCTTGCCTAAACGTTATCGCCGTAACGTCTTCAATACGTTGCATGGCTTATCCCACCCACGTAGTCGAACTACCTTCAAGCTCATAACTAGTCGGTTTTGTTGGCCTGGTATTATTATACAGGCAAGGCAATGGGTGTAAACGTGTCTACCCTGCGAAAAGTGCAGAGTAGTAAGAGAGACCAGAAACCCCATTGACACCTTCCTTATCTCTGATGCTGGTTTCGGAAAAGTTCATTTAGATCTGGTTCGATACCTTCCAGAAACGCATGGATATACCTGTACCTTGATCTACACTGACACTTTTACATTGTGGCCTGAAACAGCACCAATAAAAGATGTATCTGCAGAAACGGTAGCACGCGTCTTTGTAGAATGACGAATCCCAAATTTCAGATGCCCATCCTCCATAACAACAGATGGTGCGTGTCAATTCGAAAGCAGCTTGTTCTTATCCTCGACTAAAGTCCTAGGTGGTATGCATTTTAGAACAACAGCCTGTCATCATCAATCTAATGGTGTACACCGACAGTTGCGGTCTTGATTATCAGCTGCAAACAATGCACATTAGACTGAATCACTACTTCTAGTTCTCCTAGGTTTACGAAATGCTTTGAAAACTGACGTCGGCTGTACTACTGCTGAGCTAGTATATGTCAAAAAACTACTGCTCCTCAGTGAGTTCTTTTCTCCCTCTAGCTTTCCACCTGGCATAGATCATTGCTCGTACGTCAGCAGGCTCACAAACACAATGCGTTCAGTTAAACGTACTCCTCTATGACCCCAGTCCATTGACGTTTTTATCAACTAATATCTGAACACTTCTTCATATGTGTTTATTCGTCAAGGCTCTCCGCATCACCCTCTAAATCTGCATACGATGGACCAAACATATGATGGATTTTTTGTTCTAGATAAAAAGAGCCGCGAAGACTCTGTTAGTATCGATCGTTTGAGATAGGCCTACTTAGAATGCAATTCCATGAGCCTCAGTCTAGGCGTTTCGAAAAATATACAGTTGATTGAATACCCACGCATTTTATTGTTTTATGAGGCTATTGACTTCAAGCTTTATTTATTTTCTCAAGTATCTGTAATCCATCCAACGCATACTTGGGTTTTTTTTGTTAATGCGAAGTCAATATCTCTATATTTCTTGGTGTGTTCCATTGAATCACTAGTTATCAAATTTTTCCCACAAACTAAAGATAAAATGACAGCAACCATGTTATTTAACCGTAAATCCTGTAGTTTAAATTTAAATATGTAACTTAAATAATACTTATCCATACAACTGGTGTGTCCTACATTTGTAGGAATAAATATGTACCTTATTATATTATCATTACTAACTATACTTACTAATCGTATGTGTAATCTATGCCTGTAAACTGGCGTCCCTCATGTACAAAAATGAGAGTATACTATTATTATTATTACCCGCTAGTCATCGAAGCAGCAAGTAGCACGGCGAAGGCGATTGAACCTTCTACTGAGATCCTAAATAAAACGCGTCCTGGGAGAACCGTGAGATTCTCTGGACTTCTTCATATTTATTTACATGATACAACAGACGTGCCCCACCCATTCAAAAAAATCAGTACTTCAAGCTTATGGTACATTTTTTCATGCATTCATTGGACTTCACACCATAAATTAAACGTATTATTTATGAATGTACATGTAGTCTCTACTGCAAAATTATAATGGTTTCTGACGGCGTAGTTTTTACATTATTTCCAGCGTGTAAAATGTATACCGTAAACGTCATCCAGTAAATAATATTGCTTCACTATGTGATATACCTAAGAGACAAACTAATATGGAAATACCTACTAACTCAGTGCCCAAGTCCTACACATATATTAATTGTTTCGGTACATTATCCTCGACAAGGTTCTCAGTATTCTTGTTTTCTTTTCCTGCTGTGATGGGTACTGGACAGGAAGCAAGAGAAGCACCAGGTGCAAAGGATGAACGTCAACAAAGCGATGTATGTAAGCAGATTGTCATAGGTAGACCACCAGTAGGCAATCCATTAAGCCAATCTGAAGATTTTTACCGGTGGGGCCACCATTAAGTGTTTTACTTCAGGATGGTTTCGTCCTAAGGTGGTCATGACCTCACGAGAGGAAGGAAGGAGCTGTAGCGGTAGGGAATTCCCCAAGATTATTAGCCACAGCATTCATCGCC